GAGAGAGAGAGAGAGAGAGAGAGGAAGAAGAAGGAGAGGGAGGGAGAAGGGGAAGGGGGGAGGGGAGGGAGGGAACAGGACGAAGAGGGAGAGAGGGGGAGAACTTGGCAGGTTTGGCCCAGTGAAAGGCTATAAAGGTCTGGGCCTTGGATGCTAGCCCTGACAGACTTTGTCCTCCAGGCAGGGGGAGCCACAGAAAGTTCTTGAGCAAAGAATTGACTAGGTGTGTGTCTTGAAAAGATGCTTCTGAAAGCCCCCCTTGCCTGACAGGTTGGGGGTTTAATAGGTCCACATGGATTCAAGTGGCTGTGGAAGTAGGATGGGAGCTGCAAATCTAGGATGTAGCAAAGACATGAAAATGAAGGCGTGGCAAAGAGGCTGGGGAACCCAGGTTACTAGCTCCTGAGAAGCAGGAGGTTGTCAGTCTATGAGCAGAGCCCAGCTGTGGTTTCTGGCTAGTGGGGTCCAGTCTTACCCTGTGGCCTCCAGGGGTATGCCACAGGAAATGTCCAACCTGGGGGCTATGGCCTCAGGGGAGGACCAGTCTCTGTGGTCACAGCTGTGAGGGTTGGCAGGCTGCAGGAGGGAAAGAATTGGCTCCCTGCCAGATGTGTTATTATTTATGTCTTTGAAAATGTCTGGATCCTGGAGCCAAATTACAATAAAAACATCTTTAAACTTATTTCCACCTCATTTTGGAGTTGCCAGCTCAACTGATCATTTTTATGAACCGTCATGAACATTGATGACATTTTATGAGCCTTTTACTCCGGATGCTACAGGATAAATTTGTCAGCCAGGCCCTGTAGGGAACCCAGTGGCTGGGCCTCCCCTGTAAGATTGGCTCCTCCCACCTCCTCATGTCCACCTGGCCTTGGTGGGGAGGCCCTGTGTCCAGTTTAGGATCTGTCATGGTACTGACCACTGTAGCCTGGTGCTCCTCAGAGAGGCCAGGCCTACATCAGTGGCCTCTTGGTCCTACAGAGGCCCTGAAGGCCAGCATAACTTTCTGGATTCTACCAAAGTGAAGATTGCAGCTGGAGAGTCAGGTACAACTTGCCAGGGAAAACTGACAGTCATCTGCTAATGGCCCAGCATCTGGACAGGGAAGGCTGCAGGCAGCCAGGGCCAGCTGTCTTGCTACTCCCACCTGGCTCTTTGTTTCATCCTTTCAGCCTGTTCATCTGTCCTTCTATCTCCAGACTCTTGTCTGTGCATTCATCTCTGTTTGTCACTCTCCACTTGTCTGTTTGCCTCCTTCCATTGATCCATCTGACCATCCATCTCTGTACCTGCCTGCTTGGATGAGCAGAGACCCAGGGCTACTCCTGCTACCCTGCAAGCCTTCCCTGCCATAGTCTCTAACATCCCCAGGCCCCCCAAGCTGGTGGGGAGAGAGGCAAGCCTGGATTGCAAGGTGTTGAGGGGGGAGCCCTGGGAGGGGCACTGGGCCAGTCCTCTTGTTTTTCTGGCCTACCCACACCCCTCCCCCTGTAGTCTTCTGGCTCTTTCCTGACCCCCAGGTCCCCTCATAATATAGCCTCTTGAGACCCTTGTGGGCTTCCTCCAGTATGTGGTAGGTGTGGAAGGTGCTTTGTGGCTTCAAGAAACCCCCATTGTGATACCTAGAGCAAATCATGGGATTTCAATCTGGTTGTGTGGAGTATCTGCTGATCTTTGCACAAAACCAGCATAATTTTTTCAGTGAGTAACCAAGTGCCTAGAACAGATTTTTAGTGCCAGGCTGCCTTGGTGCCCAAGAAGCAAACCACCAAAGTTAGAGGCTAGTGTAGAAGCTAAATGCAAGTCTTGTTCCCACCTGTTGTTGCCCCATGGGGCCCCCCTTCTTCCTCTCAGTGCCTGGTGGTCCCAAGTGTATGGAAGAGCTGACGGCAGCTGCTCAATGGCCCTCACCTTCTTACTGCAGGCCAGGCTGGGTTCACAGAGAGCAGACTTTCTGCCCTCATTTTTGAGTCTTTGGAAGCCGGTTCACCTCTCGATGTCAGGGACACCAGAAGAGGGTCCTTGTGGGGAGCAACTCTGTGGCTGCTTAAGCCTGTGCTGGACCAGCTCATGACTCCCTCTCTATGCTGAGGATAGCAGTTCTCTCTGACACCCCCGCATGTATGAGGATGGTGGGGATGAGCCAGTTAATCCCATAAAGTACTTATTCCCCCTTCTGCCCTCAGGCCTACACGGGGGTGGGGAAAGAACTGCATCTGGGTCTCTGGGTTTCAGGGCTAGGGCCTCTTGGGGTATCTGCTGCTGAAACTGATCTGCTTAGGGGCCAGTCCTGGATTAGCCCAGCTCCAGTCAGTCCAGTCAGGGGCCGGGGGCTATTTAATGAGGTTCAGGGTTGGTTCCCAGGTCATTGCCTGGAGATTTTGCCAGCACCGGCACTGCTGAGGAGGCTGCTCTGCCACAGGTGGGCTGGGAAGGGCTTGTGCTGGGTGCTGGGTACAGCTGCTCCTGCCCTGACCTGGCTTTGGTTTCCTATGGTTCCTTTCTGTATTGATGTGGGGGTGCTCACAGAACCCTGGTGTGAGGTGCCCCCTGCCACCTTCCCACACCCTCTCCTCTCTGGGGCTTTATATGGATGAGGATTCAGCTGACTCAGCAGGAAGGCAAGACATGAGGGAACAAATTGTTAAATGCATGTTTATTCCAAGCCAAAGGGGCTTTGTGATCCCTAGTGTGTCCTGGGCCCACAGTGGGCATGGGCTGTGTGTCTGTCACCTGTACCTGTTTGCACTGTGTGTGTGAACATGGGTCTTGTCAGCTTCAGAACTTTGGTCTGAACCTGCTGCCTTGTTTGAAAACACCAGGGTCTGAATGCTTGCAAGTTTTAGTCAAAATGGTATTTGCCATGTTCTTGCTGCTGGAGCCAGCAGCATACATGTGACAACTTGTCTTCTCTGGGCCTGTCCTGCAGGAGTCAGGACACCTGGCTGCCCGAGGCAGGGAGCAGGGCACAGGGCTGTTCCCTCTGCAGAGAATGATGGCAGGAGGGGCCACCCTGGCTCTGTAGCCAGCTGGGAGCTGTGGTGGGGTCTAAGTGCCAGGTCTCTGCTCCACTTTGGTCTGCTTGGTGGGTGTGCACACATGCAGCATCACAGGCCCCATGCAGAGGTGTGCACATAGCATCATCACACTGTGTGCACCATCCCTGAACCATGTACTCCCATGTTTGCACTGGTCAGGCACTCGCTGTTTCAGGCTTATGACCTGTGTTGATGCTCATGGCCTGTCTTGTCTTGCTCTGCTGCAGCCAGGACAGCAACCTCCCCACCCTCATATCCAGCATACATCGAAGCCGCCACCTCGTTATGCCCGAGCATCCAAGCCGCTGTGACTTCACGAGAGGCAGTGTGGAGATTGGCCTGAGACCCACAGGTGAGGAGCCCAGGGGTCCCCAGTTTGAGGATGGGGCTGTGGAGCCACAGCCACTCAGCCCAAGGACAGCCCTCCCTCCCTGAGTTTCTGCTCAGCAGCTCTCAACATCTTGGCTGGCAGCCAGGGAGGCCAGCAGAGGAGGTGGGAGGTGTGAGGCCGCTGTCCCCTGGGGCTCCATGTGATAGTAATTGTGTTAATCCCAGCCAGCAGACAGGCTGCAGAGGAGGTGGCTCCACTATGGCTGTTGTTGGGGCGGGCTTGGAGTGGCCAAGATCCACCACCCTCTCCTCACAGGGGCAGACACTGAGCAAGCCTCTCAGAGGCTAGGAATACTCACCCCAGAACAGCTCACAATGGGCAGAAATATGTTCACCCCACAAAGCATGCCTGGCCTTGGTCTTGCCTCCCTGGGGTCCCAGACATATACAGCAGGGGTTCAGAAGGTACTGGCCCAGGGACTCTGGACTACCGAGGAACCTGGGTTATGGAGGCTACAGGAGCTGAGGGCAGGGTAGCCCATGACCATGGTATTCCCAGTGGAGCAGGCTGGGGGTATAGTGAGTCTCAGGGGACCTTGGGGTCCTCTGTCTTGGGCCCCCAGGTAGGGATGTTTCCAGTGGGTGGCTGTAGTGCTCAGGAAGGCTGAGTGGGTGTGGTCTACCACCCTAGGCACCTCTATCAGAACATCATGTGCCTGGAACGCTTTGTGGGCTGGGGTAGGGGACTGCTTCTGAAGGGATGGAGGCCTGGTGGAGGCGCTGAGCAGGCTGATAAAATCTAATTGCCACATCGATCGCCAAGCTGAGGGAGCCCCACAATGATTGAGATGTTATGAGCCTGCAGGCCCTCCCCTGTTCCTGAACATGGAGACCTCCTCAGGTGACAAGGACTCATGTGAGTGTGTGTGCTTGTGCATACACAGGCTTGGGGCCACCACTCACCCATATGTCCTCATCTGCTGCTCCTGGCCAGGCACTCTGTTTTCTTTGGCACTGCATACAGGGGTTGTCCTCTCCCTGGGGGTGTCTCTGCCTGCTACCACATCTTCCAGTAGCCCAGCAGATACTCACTGCTGCCTGGGTCCTGGGCAGGAAGGGTCAGAGAGGTTCAAGGACTCAGAGTAGCTCTTGTGATTGGGTATCTGCCCCTGGGTATACTGCCTGTTCCTGTCACCAGCTTCCCCAGAGGTATCTGTGAGTGAATGTGGCACCCTCAAGGCAGCCATAGTACTGGATCTCATGTGAGGCACTCCCACCCCAGGATCAGCTTTGACTCAGCTTTCCAAGAGCAGAGTATAGCCCCAGTAACCCCCACAGGAAGGAGAGGAGGATCTTCCACTGTTGAACTGGGAACAGACTGTTGTGAAGGGAGCCCTTGCCTAACCGTAGAAAGGGCATGCGAGAACAGGGGTGTGGGCAGCAGGTGTGGAATGAAACCCATCTCCCTGCCTGCTCTGCTGCCACCTCTCCTCCCTGCTGGGCTCTGACATGCTGCTTGTAACCCCAAGTGCAGCCCAGTGCCCTCCATCATCCACTGAGTCCATCTGCCCTAATCCATCACTGGAGGGACCCCTCATCCAGGCAGTGGGGACTGTCCCTCTCTTTGGAGCAGGGCCTGGGCTAGCTGGCCAAACTGGTGGCAGTGAGGTGGCTGAGATCAATAAGTTATTAGCACCATTCTGTCAGCCGTAATGTGAAGATTGATCGGCACTCTTGCGGGCCCGCACTTCCCTAGCCTGATAAAAATGACAGATTAAAGGAATAAGAAAAGGAATTAGGCTCTGGAGCTGGGTTGGGAGGGGCACAGGATTGGAAACCTAACTTGCTGAGGTATCATAGAGGGTGTGGGTCACCCAGGGGGCAGCCCCTCACTGCCTCCCCCTGCTCATGACGATGTGGAAGGGCAGAGGCAGCACCACTCTGCAAGAGACCCCAGTCTCCTAGCCAAGGGCTCAGGAGGAAGTAGGGGAATGTAGGGTATGCTGTGTGGGCCCGAGAGAAGACATAGGGGGGCTGGGCCTATCCTAGTGCTGGCATGTAGGGGTTGCACATAACATATGACCTGCTCAGGGAAGCCCTCAGGACCCCAGACCCTCACTGGGCAGGTATGCAACCAAGACCAAGTGCAGCAGAGAAGAGACACTCAGGGAGGGTCTTGAGCCTCTGGTGGCAAGGCTGGGAGGACCTGAGTGGAAGAGGCTGGAGTGTTAGGTGTGCTTTTCTGACTTGCCTTTCCCATACCTGTTCAGCAGCCACCTCTGTCCCAGGAGGTGAAGGCATCTTCTCTCCAGGAGGGCAGAGGAGGCTCATGGACTTGCAGGAGAGAACAGACTGCCTAGTGTCAGTAGCAGCTACTGGTTGGTTCACTAGCATGAACCTCCCATTATTTCTGTTCACTCATACCACACCAGGGATAACTGCCCCGTGTCCTTGCCATGCTCTGTCCCGTCATGTCCTTTGGCCAGCTGTTGGGAATACCTAGGTCCCCAGGATGGGCAAAGGCATCCTGAATGGTGGTGCCTGGGGTTCCTGGCTGAGCTGAGGCAGGGGCAGCTCCTGCCCACCAGCCTTTCCCACATCCCTCCTCCCCAAGCCCTGAGACACAGGGTGGCACTACTCACCTTCCGCAGGTGACCTGTTGGGCAAGAGGCTGGGCTGCTCTCCCCACATCACCAGCGACTGTTCTTCAGAGAAGAAGGCCCGAAGCGAGTCCCCCCAAGGTGGGAGCCTGACTTGGGAGTCAGGGGCAGGGCACTGGAGGAGAGAAGGAGCAACTGAGTCCGGAAGGATCTCTTAGACCTTGTATGGGGTTTCTAAGAGAGTAGGCCCTTCCTTTTCTTCAACAGCTGTAAAGGCAAATCCCCCTCACAGCCCTACCCACTGTACTCCCCTAACACAGAGACTCTGCTGCTTCCAGAGTTCGGGCCCACTATGGCTCCCGAAGACCACTACCACCGGCTCATGTCAGCCTTGAGTGAGGCTGGCCCCTTTGAGGACCCCCAGCGTCTCTACCACCTGGGCCTCCCCAGCCATGGTATGTGCCCCCTTAGTCGCCTCTCCACCTTATGCACTGGGCCTACCCCAGGAGAGGTATTTGGGAACTGGCACCATAAGTCCCCGGCCCCTGTGGGTGGATGATGAGACCTGACTGCCAGAGGTCCTGACCTAAACGTCCCAGTACTTATCTCCAGGGACCACATCCCCACCAGTTCCTCCAGATGAGGGTTGGAGGTAATGACTTGAGCAGGCTCACCTGCCCCACTGTGGGCAATGTGGCCAGTGCGGGGTCCTCCTCACTCCCACAGCACTCAGTGCAGGACCTGAGTCACTGGACAGCTACATTCTGGCTTCACAGGTCCCAGCTCTGCTGGGAGGAGCCCAGCTTTTCTGGTGGGAGGTGGCTAAGGACTCTGAGAAGGGGGGCAGATTTCCTCTCCTTGCACAAGGCACTGCCCCCCAGGGCAGCTCAGGCACCATGAGCCTGAATAATTCACCAAATGTTAATAATTTAAAAATCTTCCTTTTTAATTGCTTTCCATGCCCTGCCTGGGGCTGGCACTGGCGGCCTTTGCGGGGGGGTGGGGGGGGTGGGGGGGGGAGTGGGTTGTCAATCACTGCTGCAGAGAGTCCTGGCCGCTGCCAGGCAGGCGGGGGCGGGGAGTCCAGACCCGCTGGGATCAACGCGGGCGGCAGCGCCGGCTGGGCTCTGAGGGCTGGCTCCCGGCCCCAAGCAGACCCACCTCCGCTTTTCGAGTCATTAATTTATAAACAGGCAGCAGCAGAGCCAGCGCCTCAGAGGCCCACCCTGGGCAGAATGGGGAGCAGCATCAGTGTGTTACATGTGGATCACTGTCTGCACAGTTGTGTGTGCATGGGCCACCACTATTGGACAATGGCATGTGTGCTGCTTTATGGGAGTAACAAGTTCTCTCCAGTTGTGCTTGAGTATTAGGATGTCAAATATTCCTGACTCCCATTTAGGAGGGGGTCACCTGGGCAGCCCCCAGTTTGAGGCCCACTCCAACTCTTGGACTCTTGTCCCATTGGCCTCCAGGAGCTGGCCTGTGCCCTCACTCCTGAACCTTTGCACAGACCCCCACCCCCAGGCTCCAGTTTCCCTTCAGGTCAGCACCAGAAGGCTCCCTACCTGGGAGCCCTTCCCTCCCACCTCACTTTTTGGAGGCTGACCTCATATTCCTTTTCCAAGCTCACCTGTCCTGCAGCATCTTGCAGATCCTACTGCAGTTGGACCTGGTTACTTCTCCAGTCCCAGCAATACAAAGCAGGGACTGAGCAGGCCTCAGGGATCCTGTGAAGTGCCCCCCACTCCTGTTGACCTTGGCTTCTCTGTGACAATGTCCTCACCGGGATGGGAGGGGGGGTTTCCCTGGGGAACTCGGCTTCTGAGTCACTGCTGTTGCCCTGCCCCCATCCCCAGATCTCCTGAGGGTCCGGCAGGAGGTGGCAGCTGCAGCTTTGAGGAGCCCCAGTAGCCTGGAAGTCCACCTGCCCTCAGCCACAGTAGGTCAGCGCCGGAAACAGGGCCTGGCTCAGCACCGGGAAGGCACGGTTCCATCTGCTGCCCCGTCCTTCTCCGAGAGGTACTGGGGAGGGTGGCGTCTAGGTGAAGCCCTCATATTCTCAGGGCTTGTTCCTGCGGGGAAGGCCAAACAGCCTGCACCTTTCCCCAACTCGCCCTCCCCCACATAGCCATGTAGGTACTGCATCCCTTGAGTGTGCCTGAACGCAGGGTTTGGGGTATACTGAACAGGAGGCTCTTGACGCCCACTGTGCTGGACAAGGGCCGGGGAAAATGTTTCTGGGGCACAATGTGTGGGGGTGATCACCACCATGGTCAGGACAGCAGAGGGGTACTCCGGTTCTTTTGAACAAGCGGGGACACGGCCAGTCGAGGTGCCCCTAAGACAGCAAAGAGGTTGTAGCTCGAGGTCTGGAAACCCCGCCCGAAGCGGGTCGGGAGGGAGTACGACAGAGAACTGGGAGCGGAGGGGAACCTGGGCCGCGCCGCTAATCTAGACACCAGAGCGATTCGCCGCACAGCCTGGTTGCACTGCGGGCGGGGCCGCGGGGAGCGCTGGGCAGGGGCCGCGGCTGGCCGTCTCCTGCCGCGCCGGCCGCAGAGCGCGGCGTCTGCAGCTGCCGCCGCCGCCTCCGGATTGCCGCTAATTACGCCGCGCCCCCGCCCCCTGGCGAGCGGGCTCCGGGGGGCGGGGGAGGGGAACGGCGCGCCCGGCGGTAATTACCGCTGCAGCCGCCGCCGCCCGCAGGGTCAGCGCCTCCGCGCCGCCGCCAAGATTAATTGGCGCCGCCGGCCGGGGCGGGGACGGGGGCAGCTCACGACCGGGAGCCGTAACGAGCAGTGCATCGACTGCCCGCAGGGTCGGCAATTAGCCGCGGCGGCAGGGGGTGCGCCGGGAGGCGGTTACGGGAACGGGGAAGGGGGTGGAGGGTACAGGGCCCGCGGCGCGCGCTCACAGTCCTGCTGTCCACAGGGAGCTGTCTCAGCCGCCCCCCTTGCTGTCGCCCCAGAATGTCCCCCACGTCGCCCTGGGCCCCCATATCAGGCCCCCTTTTTTGGGGGTGCCCTCGGCTCTGTGCCAGACCCCAGGTGAGGAGCGAGTGTGCAAGCCCTTTTTGTCCTGGGGGCATAAACTGCGAGGGTCCTCCTTGCAGAGGACAGACCGAAGTGGCGCAGCTTAGATGGCCTCCAAAGGCCTCTTGGCCTGTCCCCTTTCTCCAGGCTACGGATTCCTACCCCCCGCCCAGGCAGAGATGCTTGTCCGACAGCAGGAGCTCCTTCGGAAGCAGAGCCTGGCCCGGTAAGTGATCGGGAGGCCGGCGAGGATGGTGACATGCGTGCTGTGGCTAATCCCCGTTCTCTGCTCTCCTGGCCTAGGCTGGAAATGTCGGCAGAGCTCCTTCGGCAGAAAGAACTGGACAGCGTTCAACGACCGCAGCTGCTGGTGCCAGAGACGGCCCTTCGGGCTCCTGAGGGTGCCGACGAGCTGCAGCGGCGCGGGGCCATGTTGGTGTTGAAACACAGCGCGGCTCCGCTGCTGGCCCTGCCCCCACAGGGCCCCCTAGGCCCGGGTCCCCCGACCCCACCCCCACCCCGGGAGCCTGCTTGCCGTGCACCCCGTAAGGGGGGCCTGGGCTGTGCTTCACCCCGGTCTAGCGAGCCCAAGGAGACGGAGACGACAGGAGCTGGGCTCTGGGCTCAAGATGGCTCCGAAGAAGACCCCTCCAAGGACTCAGAAGGAGAAGACCCAGAGATGGCCGCTCCTGCGAGCAGGGGCGCTAATCCTGGCCAAGTCCCAGCTGGAGGAACCAGCGTGGAGGGCAAAGGGCTTCTCTCAGGACCCACGCTGCCCCCTCCATTGCCCCTGGGTTTCCCCTACTCAGCCAGCCCCTACTTTCACACAGGTGGGCATTTTAGTCCAGCCTAGTCACCCATTGAAGGCTGGTGGTTGGGGGACCGGGGCTGTTCCATGGGGAGGTAAGTCCCTTTTAAGACATAGATACCACATATCCTAAGCAACTTAAGGAAGGGTTAACAGTCTAGGTGTAGGGGGTCATGGGAAAGGGAGGGCTGAGCCCTAGTGACACTCCCCTGGCACATTCCCAGGTGCCATGGCAGGGCTTATGGCTGATGGGGAGGCCACACCCCCTGAGGATATCAGCAAGTGGACAGTGGAGGATGTCTGCAGCTTCGTGGGGGGCCTGTCTGGCTGTGGAGAGTATGCTCCGGTGAGGGGAGCTGCAGGTCAATGGGGCCGGGTGGGGCTGTCTGGGCACTGCACCCTCTCCAGAGCTCCCACAGTCCCTTACCCACACCCGACACAGGATTTCCCTTTCACTGGACCATTTTTCCCTGCCCTGTGGGCTGGAGTGATTGGCAGATCCTGATGCCACCCTGTTACCAGGTGTTCAGAGAACAAGGGATCGATGGAGAGACCTTGCCTCTGTTGACAGAGGAGCACCTGCTGACCACCATGGGGCTGAAGCTGGGGCCTGCCCTCAAGATCCGTGCCCAAGTGAGTAGACTGGCTCCTGACAATGCAGGGGAGGACACAAAGGCACTTCATGCTGGGGACAGTCCCACTAGGCCACTTTCCTTAGCAGGAACCCAGTCAGGCTCATCTCTTTGTAGGTGGCCAAGCGCCTCGGTCGCATCTTCTACATGGCCAACTTCCCTGTGGCCCTGCCGCTACAGCCAAGCCTTCAAGCCCCTGAGCAGCTGAGCCCAGGACAGCAACCCCTGTCCCCAGCAACAGCCACCTCCCCCTATGAAGGGGCCCTACTCCCTCCACGTCGAGCCTCACCAAAGCAGGAGAACGGAACAGAGACAGTGGCTCTGCTCCCAGGGGCTCCAGAACCCTCCCAGCCTCTGTGCTGAGCTTAAGGGTGCCCATGCAACAGTCCCACCCCTATAGGGCTTTTTTTTTTTTTTCCCCCCTTTTTTTGGTTTTGGACAAAAAACCCAAGACTTTTAAAAAGGAAAACACATTACTTAGAGGAAAGGAACGAATTTCCAAAGATCTGGTGAATGCAGACAAACCAAAGACAAAAAGAGGTAGAAGAGGCCATGGGAGCCAACCTCCTCCCTCTGAACTGGGTGAGACTGCTGTTGTACTGGTTCCCTTCCTCAGGTCAGCATGATTCTTGGTGTGTTTGATCTGTCATGCTGCAACAATAAAGCCCTGTCCACTATCCACTCACTTCCTAATGCACAGACATTGGCCTCAGGGCCTCTGGGAAACTGCAGGAAGGGCCTCAGTCCTCCTCAGAGAGCTGCAGATCTTCTAGCTTGTCCTGTGGTCCCTGGGCCAGTCGCCACAGCTCACTGGGGTCCAGCCCTACTTCTGCATCTGGACCTCCATCTGCAGGGAAAGACAAGGCTACATAAATTCTGCTGTATCAGGAAGAAGGCAGTCCTAGAGGTTACTTACTCATCACTAATTAATCACAGCACTAATTAATTTATCAGTGCTGCTGTAGCCAAACCTCGTGCAAACAGAGCAGCTGGCCTGGCACCCCAGAGAGGGGCATGGACCTGGTTCAAAGTCACCCTCTCATGGCCTCACTGCCAGATGGGCTCCCCAGCCAGTCCCCCTCACTCCAGGAACCACTCACCCTCTGAGTCACTGCTGTCCTCCTCGTCCTTCTCCTGGTCATCTTCTTCCAACCCTTGCTGAATTCTCAGGAACCCAGGCATTCCTGAGGACCAAGAGCAGTTGTATGTATGTATGGCTACTCCCCAGGGCCCAGAAGCAAGGCATTGAAGCTAGACAGGAGGGGGAACCACCTGTCCTCTCCACCTGCAGGGAGACCATGCCTGGGGACACAGTTACCAATCCCATGGAGACCCCACCACAAACTGAAGGAAGGGGCTGGTGAGGGAGGCCCCTCTCTGTGAGGTGCTGGGAGATGTCCAGTACCAGGAACATTGCAGAAATGGCACAGGCACTACCTCTCTCTGAGAAGTCTGCACTCTCCTCCTCGGCACTGTCCAAGTCAAAGAGGTCTTTAAATTCCTTCCTGTCCTCATCCTTCCTGTCTTCCACCTTCCGCCGTTTGATTTCTGGGAAGTTTAGGTCTTCCAGCTGCAGGGATCAGAACCAGAGTGGAAACTGGGGTGCGCAAAGGCAGAGAGAGCCGAGCCGAGCCCAGCCCAGCCCAGCCCAGCCCAGCCCAGCCCAGCCCCACCTCATGGCCCACCACAACCACTCTCAGGGTGGACAGTAGCCATCAAGCTTTATCCAACCTGGTATCCCCCTCATTCATTCATTCATTCCTTCCTTCCTCCCTCCCTCCCTCCCTCCTGCCAGTGTTCCCTCTTCCAGCCTCACTTCCCAGTCCAGCCCCTCACTAGGACCCTGCTTAGCAGTTCTCTGCTGGGTCTTTCTGCTCCCATACCTGCACCCATTGCTCCCAGAACTGAGAGCAGACTTGCAGCATGCTACTCAGCATGACGATTTCCCCAGGTCATCCAACCCACAGCCAGGGACAGGCCCAGGGTCAAAGGCAAAAGGCGTTGCTGCTCCTCCCACCTATCTTCCTCATGCTCTCAGGCTGGTGTGAAAGACAGGTCTAGCCACCCTGGCCAGATCTGCAAGATGTGTGATACCCACTCCTCGCTGAATCACAGTTACTGCTGTATCTGACAGCCATACTATCCCAAACCACCCAAGTCACCCCCAGCGAGCATCAAATCTTTCCTGCCCAGTCTTAAGATCATGCCAACATGCAACTCTGAATCCAGCCCCAGCTCCATGCCTACCCGCTCCTTGCCACTAATCTCCAGCTGGATCTCACGGTCCCTCAGCTTCCGCCAGTGACTGTAGTATTTGGTGAGTGGGGTCCCCTCTTTCTGGGCCTGCTTCTCCCAAGCATCCTAAGGATTTTGGCAGTTCAGGGTCATGCCTTGCCCTGGGCAAACCCCCACCACACTCTCTCAGGCAGCCAGGGCTCAGAAGCCCTTTCCCAGCTGACCACTGCTATTCGATCAGATACTCCGAAGGAGACCCTCTGGCGTTGGTTGCAAATGTGTGCTGCGTTCTCCTGCACCTTCTCCAGCAGCTGGCGCACCTGCCGGCAGTAATTGGCCACCTTGCATTCCCGAAGGAAGGATTTCAGCTGCAGAAGGGAGAGACTCGATGCAGCTCCAGACACAGGGCTGCACCATATCCCAAAAAAGGCCCAAGAGCCTCCTGTCTCCATAAATAAAGTCCCACTGGCACACAGCCCAGCTCAGCTGTGCATGAGCATCTGTGGCTGCTTCTGCAGTGGCCAGAAGCCACCCATGCATCCCACAAGGCCGAAAACATTTACCATTTTGCTTTTTATGAAAAAAGTCTGCTGATCCCCTATACTCTGTAGACTCCCACCCCTGAGACCTTAAGTCCACAAGCATAGGTATCCTGACTGCTGGGCATCACCAGTGAAGAAGACACAGGAGGAATAGAGGCCACTGCCACACTCTGTGCGACTGTGAGTAACTGAGCATGTTCACAACTCTGGGTGTGTAACTGTGCCATATGCACACACACACACACACACACCCACCTGTGTCTGGATGGGCCTGAGCTAGGTATGGCTCAGGTATGAACACTAGCCTGTGAGTAGGAGACCCACCCCCACAGTCAAAATGGGGACAGCAGAGGTTCCCTCCCATGAGAAGTGCCTGGTATGGGATGAGAGCAGACACTCTCATAGGAGGAGTGCAGAGAGAGCTTCCAAGACAAGGGAGAACCTTACTCCATCCCTAGGACCACATGGGAAAGCAGTCAGGGGACTAACCCAACCCAGGCTTTGGGCTTCAACAGGTGGCTAATCAAGTCCCTGGGCAATACATGGTTGGCCCAGCCTGGGGAGGGGCAAGCATGTTCCTGAGATTCAGAAACTGCAGGTCTACCCTAATCCTGTGAGTGGGCGAGTGATAATCCCTCATCCAGAGCCAACCTGACAGCCCCCAGAAAGAAGCCCCTCAGTCTCCTGCACCCTAAGGATCAATCCCCCTATTTTGGCCCCAGGGGGTCCAGCTGTCAGGCAGTGTCAGAGTGGAACAAAAAGTCTGGTCAACTCTGCTACTGGTCCTGTGTGGCTGAGACAAGGACATCTCCCTTTGGCCCCTGTGTACAAAGGGAGCTTAGCCCCTTAAAAGACGATCCAAGATGACTATAAAGCAGACCCCAAAGGATCTGGGTAGAGTAGGGGAGCCAGATGTCAGGCACACACCTGCAAGACAGTGGGTAGCACCAGCTCAGGGAAGGCAATGCTGTGGGCTTGGCTATGCAGGTACTCCAGGATGAGGTCATACAGCTGCTCCACCAGGCCATCCTGAAGCAGCAGGGCAAGATCAAGCTCATCAGGGTATAGGGCCCTAGTGCTCAGGATCTTCTACCTGAGGATCCACTCAATCTCCAGGCCAGAGGCCATAAGGCAGTGCTCACAGCCCCCCCAGAAGCCACACTCAGGCTCATACAATCTGGGATGGCACCCCAGGTCCCCAATCCAAGACGACCATGAAGGTCTGCACCTGAATGCTACAGAATGGCTGTCCCTCCTGTCTACCTGTTATGTTCACCTCAAAACCTTCTGACCTCCTGACATGGCACACATACCCCCTCCCACGACAAGCCGCCTTCAGAAGGCTTGGAGACCAGTCTCACCCGGTATGCCTTCTCCTGTAGGTTGGCACTGGACAGCTTCAGGATCACAGAGAAGTTGATAGGCCTGGAGCTCATGCGACCTGGCCGCCTATTGAAGTCCACCTGCTGGAAAATCTGTCCCCAGGGCATGTCAGAACAGCCCCAGACCTTAGACTTTGGAAGGAAGACTCCTAGAGAACAGGGGCACAAGGCCAGACACAGCATGTCCCAGGTCCCACAGACTCCTTCAGACTCTCCTCATCTTCCAGAGCTCTGACCCCCTTCATAGGAGGGAAGCCCCTGGCAGGAGACACTATACAGCAGGGCAGAGTGCTGGTGGCTGAGCCTGGCTCCAAGTGGAGAAGAGCCTAGCAGTTATTGATAAATGAGGGGTGGGGAGGAACACTGCCCCTTCTCTAGCCTGGGCAGAGGGCTGGGAAGAGATCAACTGGCACGTGAGGCTGCTCTTAATACCCTCTTCCCATAAACCAAAGAAAGAGCAGGGATACCTTGTGGGCAGAGAGCTCCACAGTCCCTGTGGCTTTCTCAAGAGATATGAACCTGGTATGGGAGGCCCTACAGGGCCAGCTTCAGCAAGCCTAGGCAAGGGTCAGTATGAGGGCCATCCAGGACAAAAAAAAAAAAGATGTCCCAGAGGCATGGGAAAGACTGGGAAGATCAAAGGCAGAAAGACCTCAGCCAGGTGCCAAGACAGAGGCTGCCACAGGGGAGGAGATGTGGGTTCCAAAGAAAGTTCACAAAGCCCCTACCTGGCTGCACCTAGCCACCCACCTCAAGGATGAAGGGCAGCACAGGGATGAAGGTGCTGGTGCTCTCTGCCAGCAGCGTCAAGGCACGCACACAGTGCATGCGCAGTGGATAGAAGCGGGCGGTGGGCACCAGCCTAGGGAAAAGCAGATCTGGGTCAGTTGCCCCCACCCCAGCCACCTACTGCCTCTGACCCCTTCCCACCTACAGGAGTTGAGTAGCCATAGTGCCCACAGGGCAGCATCATGTTCTCCCACTCCCAAACACAATGGGGCACAACAAAATGCCTGGATGCTGGACTAAGGACCTGCCTCATTGGCTCAGCTGTGGGACTGGAGGACACCATCCAGCTTCTAAGTTAATTTTAGGGGTAGGGGCTGCTCATTCCTGCCTTTCTTCCCTAATTCTTGCTTTTGAGGATTCTTCCCTTGGACCTCCTGCCTCTCTTCAAAGCCCAGAGTTTCCATGGCTCAGGTGAACACTTCTGAGGACAGAAACGCCCCCTTCTGGACAGAGAGGCACACATAGTACCAGATGCTTGGCCAAGAACCCGAGGTCACTGAACCCAAATGTCCTTCATACTGCACATAAGCCCACTGGCCCTTAGAACAGCAGTGCTGCACTGTGAGCAGCTAAACAGCTCACCTCACAGGAGTTCAGTCCATCTTCCCAACCTCTTCCTCAGGAATTGCCAACGCCCAAACCCAAAGGTCCTGAAGGGTACTGCCTAGAACATCCTGACAAACTTACTGTCCCCACCCTCCAGGACAACTCCATACAGCCCCGCCCCGGAACTCACTTGATGCAGCCGATGATGACCTGCGAGAGGGGGTACAGCAGGGGCTGCAGGACTTCCCTGGAGCCAAGAGCACTCAAGACACGGCACCACAGGTAGAGGCAGTGTACATACTGCCAGTTGTACACAGACTGGTACGTCTCCTAATCAGAGTGGAGTCCACCTCTAAGGGCCAGAACAGTCCTCCCCACCAGAACAGTCGCCCTGTGCCCGTCACCCACTCAAGGCCTCACACCAAGGTGTTGGGCCATCTCCCCCGACAAGGGCTTCAGAGAGACATAGGCTCCTGGGCTTTGATAGGACTGAACACACACCTTCTTGCCAGTGGTCATAGCATTGCGCAGGTGGATTGCAAGCTGGCGGATATAGAGGAAGGCATGTTGGTAGGAGATGCTAGGGTCCAGAGCAAGCATCTCAGTTAGTGTCCGCTGCATGAAGTTGATGAGGGGCAGGGTGGTGGGGGAAGTGAACTTGCAATTCCTCACGTATGTGATGTACATTTGCTGCCAGAGAGAACCAAGTCAGAGCCACCTGAGCACCCACTGCCCAGTTCCAGGCCACTGGCAATATCCAGGCCTTTCCCTTAGAGCCGCTGCCTCAAGCCTGACCACTTGGCTGCAGACCCCTCCCTTCCACAGTCCCTAGCTCCTCAGCCTCCACAGTTGCGCCCACCAGCCTCAGGTACAGTCTAAGGTACACAGAGAAGTCTTATGGGGAAAGTGAATAAGGGAGGGGTGAGCTGTGGAATAGGCAAGGACATTTTCAAAGGCCCAGGAGGGAGGTAAGAGGAGATACCCTGCTGGGTCTGTACAGGGAGGTGGCGGTAGAGCCTTCAGAGGGTTAGGGTTAGTAGGCCATCCCAGGCTTGAAGCCAGCAGCAGGGTTTTATCCCGACTGTGGCCTCAAACCTGTTCCTATTCTCCATGCAGAACATCCTCATCCACCAAGAGGAGAGGTCATCCCTAGGGAGAGCTCTGTGGAGCAGAGTCCAGGTGGAACCCAGGGGGCCACAGGCTCCTATCACCACTTCAAGTTCTTGGTGAGTAAACTGACCCATGGACCCTGGTACCCAGAGCGCAGTGCCAGGGCCCAGTGAGAAGCACCAACCACAAAGGCTGCAGCCAGGCCTCAGGCTAAGATTCTGAACACGGACTCTGATGGACAGATGCGGGGCCCATCCTACCTTCAGGATGGGACTCAGGAAGGTATCCTTCTTATGCCGGCAGACTTTGATGAGGATCAGGAAGGCCAAGACCCGTAGAGACTCCTCTCCCGTGCTCCACAGAACTACCATCCTCTGAGGAAGGGGGTTGTCACTTGGCAGGCAATTACATCCTGGGACACCTCCCTGAGACAAAGGCTACCCCTGCTGGGAGACAGCCCTTCCCAAAACACATCAAGGGAGAAGCCACGAATATGAACATCAGTTAAACAGACACCAAAACACAGAGCAGAGCTCATTATGCCCCATAAAAGTAGGGCTATGACAATCTGCCTTTTTCGTGTGCCTGTTAACAGGCACCCAATCACACTGTGGCTACTGTCAAATATGCCAGAACATGGTTGCCTCAATGGGGCTTCTTCTTACATTACTGAGCTATGCTGCCCAGATAGGGTGGAGGCTGCCTGAGATGAGGACCTGGGGCGGGGGGGTGAAGGGTACAGAGGAGCCAGCCTTGAGTGAGTGTGGGTAAAGATGCCACCTCCACCCTACGGATGGGAGAATCATGTGTACCCCCAAGTCATGCCAATGCAGTGGGATGGGCTGCCCACCTTGAGGAGCATGCGGCACTGCTTAGGGAAGGTAAGATAGTAGGGCACCAAGCTGCTAATGTGCTGCAGGACAGCTGCCAACACTGTAGCTTCAGCCAGACAGGCCACCAGCTGGGGAAACAGGAAGGGACAGTAAAGCCCAAGCTCATTCAAGTCTGGGGTACAAAAAAGCACTGGACCACCAGACTTGGCCAGGGCCCAATTCTCCGCCCCCACCAGAACAGCACCTGTATGACTGAGCTCAAGTATGCCTTGACGTCCACACGGAGCTTCCCCCAGAGCGGGCTGCTGGATGGCTGCAGCATCCTGCAGAGACCAACACCCACCCCATCCATGCAGTTCAGACACCAGGCTGTCCAGGCACAGAGTCCGTAACACCAAGGTACATGATCCTTTGATATGGGCAGATGCTCCAACCCTCTCCACAAAAAGCTGAAGAGCTCCTTATAGCCAGGACCCTCTGGAGCATGGCCAAGACTGACACCCACCCCTAACAGTACCAGCACCTCCCACAAGCCACCAGCTAGGCCAGAATGCAGAGCAACAGCCCTCCAAGGTCCTGAACTCCCATCCTTCCAAGGTCTCTCACCTTGTGCCTCCCTCAGACATGGTCCTTTTCTAGGTTCCCAAGACCCCATCCCCACCACATCAAGCCTTCAAACCCTGTAGCAGGCATTCAGGGCCTCTGAGGCCTAACCTGGCACCCCTCATTGCTGCAGACTTGGTATCTTTGTCCTGCATGTGCTGTAAAGGCCAGGCCATGTGCATTTACACACTCAATTTCACCTAAAACTCCAGATCCGTAATATACTCAACGACCAGGTGCCTTGCAACAGCAGTTGAGCCCCTGTGGGTTTCTCAAAGTTTACTCCTCAGTGTGCACAGGACTCAGTACATAGTAGGTGTTCACCAAAATCTGCTGAACCACACCAAGGACCAAAGGGCAGAATGTCTCCCCATTGGCCAACCCTCCTGGTACCTAAGCTGGCACCAGCTAAGGGGCACCCGCAGCAGCTCAGGAAACAACCCTGTTCACAAACCCCACCTGCACCTGGCACCACCCACTGCCAGTCCACTCAGCTACTGCCTTGCTGCCTGCCTATCTCCTAGCTTAGCCTTTACCCAATCCACCTATCAGCTTTCATGCCCCACCAGTTAGAGCTGCCTCCACACAGGCATGACCTGCCAATGCACCAACCTAGCCCAGGTACCAGAAGAGTGCTCCAGGTACTGACAGCAGGGCCCTCTTCTCTGCTTCTATTAAAAGAGGTCCTTACTGAATTTGAGTCTCCAGGTTCTTACTACCTCAACAGCACATGGCTGTAGGCACTCCCAGCCCCAGCATGATTCCCACTCTTCCAGTTACTATGCTACGTAAGACATTTCATGTCCTTGTCTACCCCAGCAGCAATAAGGCCCCTGCATATAGGTACACATGCCTCTTGGAGACAGGCCAGCCACAGAGGTCAAGGAGCATGGATGGCCCTCACATTCACAGAACTCAAGGAACATGGGTTGGTCTAGGATCCAGAGATCAAGAAGCATGGACAGGACTCACACACCCACAGAGGTCAAGGAGCAAGGGTGGCATTCACATATCCACAGAGGTCAACGAGAATCAGTGGATTGACACCACCCAGGTCAAGGAGCATGTATGGTATTCACATACCCACAAAGGTCAAGGAGCATGGACAGAACTCACATCTGCAGAAGTTAAGAAGCATTAGTGGAACTCACATATCCACAGAGATCAAGTATGGATGGGACTAATACATCTATAAAGGGAGTAAAGATACCAGACCTGGGAAAATTCCAAGAGCAAAACCAAGCATACTTTCCACATTCCCAAGCAATCCTGGGCAGAGAATTTTTTTTTTTTTTTTTTGGTACTGGAGTTTAAACTCAGGGCCTCATACTCACACTTGCTTAAGCAGGCTCTCTACAACCTGAGCCACTCCACCAGCCCAAAAATTTCTTTTCAGGTAGGAAAGAGAGTAGAGCTATCCACAATGGCCTGAGTGGCTCCTGCAAGGGCCCCTCATGCCGCTGCCCTCTTAGAGGCCCCAAAGAGCCTGACTCTGTCCTGCTGGGCCTAGGCCCCAAGGCCTATGCTGGTTCCTGCAGAGTAGAGCTTTCAACATGTCTGTCCCCTCACCTGCTGCTGTCCTTCGGTCCCTTTCCAAACAGCAGTTTCTGAAGGCAACCAAAGAGATCTCTGACACAGAAGGTGACCAAAGAATTAAACACTGCAAAGAAGGGACACAGATGTCACTCACAGAACAGACATAAGAAATGAGTCTCACATGGGTCCTCTGACCCCAGCTCACCAGCGCTGTCTGTGACTTGGAACCTGCAGACCTCAGCACCTTCCTGATCGCCTTGGGTGGTGGCTACAGCTGCTCGGAACGCCTGCATGACTTCATGGAACAGCCTGGGAGTGAGGTGTTGCTGAAATGGTAAGGACCAAGACTGTTGAGGGAGCAGTGAGCCACAGAGCAGCTGGCCCCAGGAACCTGCACTGTGAGGGAAAGGAATCCCTCCTCCACAATCTCAGACATAGAGCAGGGATGGGGACCAGTTTACTGAGTCACATGCTAGCAACAAAACTGGGCATGAGTCCACAGTCCTCTTGGATGGGCAGGAAGTCTGTCTCAGGAGCCCAGAGGGAAAGGCCGAGGGTCCTGAATCATGGACAATGGCCAGCTCCAGAAGGTATACGGAGTACTGCCTTTTCACTCCTTGCTCTGAAAAAAACAATGTGAGGTACTTAGAAGGATGCTGGCTCTGCCAACAATCAATAAATATTCTGGGTTTAAATATGCCCCCAGAAGATCTCAATTTCGTATGTTGGTATTTGGAGGAGGACCCTTTGGGAGGTAATCAGAGTTAGATGAAGGAATGATGGTAGGACCCCCAGGATGGCATCAGCAGCTTTATGAAAGGGTAGAGCTCAGTGACAGAGCACTTACCTAGCATGTGCAAAGCCCTTGATTAGACCCCCAGCACAATAAAAAAGAAAAGAGAACGAATTAGCATGCTTGCTCTGTCTCACCATGTTATGAGGTTCTCCATGAGGCCCTCAGTAGACACTAGCCTCATGCTATTGGACTTCTCAGTTTCCAGAAACGGGAGCCAAATATCTTTTCTTTACAAATTATCCAGTTGCGGTATTCCATCATAGCAAAAGAAAATACGCTAAAGTATAGACATGGCTACTATGCCCCCCACACGGTGGCCTGACTTCAGAAAGCAGGGGCCTGAGAAAAAGATTAAGGAGAAGGGAGTAGACTAGACAGAGCCCTGGTCTCTGACTAGGAGAGAATACAGCAGGGCCTCCCAGCACTCAGGAAGATAGTAGTTATTGTGTGCTGCTCAGAGAAGGACTCCTTCCACCTGCACAGCCTCAGATACCTCAAATGAGGCAAACGACAGCAGAGAACCCTGCCAGTAGGGGTTCGGCTGCCCAGCCCTTACTGCCTCTCACCCTTGCTGCCTGCTTCCATCTTTCCACCATGGCAAGAGTCACAGGAGTAGGCTCATTCTTTTTTCTCTGTGATCCTCTGGGGACTCCATGACCATCCTCCCCTTCATCTTCCTCCTCACTTGCTTCCTGCATTGGACACAAAAGGGCCAAGCTAGGGCAGGGTGTGGAAGCCACAGGTGCCCAGCTGCCCAGGTCTGCATAGACCTCACCTCCAGCATGTCTGGTAGAGAGTGGAACTGCTCCTCTTCCTCTTCGGAGGTGTCTGAATCACTGAAGTCCAGCAGGCTCTGGTCATTCTCCTGCAGGAACTTGTAGAACTCCGGGTCCCTGTCCTTCAGCCGAGAGAGCTGGTCCTTGTGCTCAGAGGCACGACCTTTATGCCGACTGAAAAGGTGGTGGTCAATAAGTCCAATAGAAAACCAACAGGGTGGTGGTGGTGGTGTTGTCTTGTTCCCCACATGGGCCAGCTTGCTAGCCTCCTCAAAGAGGCCACACGGTTAATCTGCTTCCTCCACAGCTGCTACCAAGGACCACACCCGGGAATTCTCAGAAGGTAATTTTCTCTTCCAGACTCACATATCCAGCAGACTCTGGCTCTGTTCAACATAGGCATCTCAAACCCAACACACAGACGCCCAGCCTGTGCTCTCCCCTGATTTGCTGTGCCCCCACAATGCTCACCCTGTTGTTGGAACCCATCATAAGCTCTAGCAGTAGGACCTACAAATCTATGCATGCCTCCTCTCCAACTTGTTTCCACTCTTGCCACCCACAACCCCTCAGCACAACAACCAGAGAGACCCTTTTTCACACACCACCTTATACCACTTCACTGCTTAAAACCCTAGACAACTCATTTTACAGGCAAGTCTTTTTTCAAACAGTCTACAGAATCTGGTCTCCTTGCCATTCTGGTTTCATCTCCTTCTTCTTTCCTACCCCTTCTGCCGCCTTTGCACTTCCTCAAAGACTTCACTTCGGAGTCTTTGCTATTCCCACTCAGACCGTCATTCAGATACCGCCCTCCTAAAAGACGTTGCCCGTTCTTTTCAGCAAGGCTGGTAACACGCCCTCTAATACCTTCAGTGTTCCTTTCCACCCACTGAGCGTAACCTCCGGCGCGCTGCACTGGTTTACCCCAGACCGAGCCTGGGTTAGAAATGGACATCTGCGCTACCCGCCAACTCACGCCTGAGAAGGCTGGCAGAGGGCCGGGCGCAGCTAGCATGGGACTAGAGACCGACTCCGAGAGGGACGCAGGGCCCAAAGCAAGAAAACGCCGCTCACCTGGCCGAGGGGCCACCGCTTGACCGGCCCTGGCTCAGGGTGGCTCCATGTCCGCATGCCTCCCGCGCCGCCATCACCGGGGCGCCCTCCTGCTCCGAGTCGGACTCGGAATCAAAACCCGAGGCCAGGAACTCATCCACGGTCAGTTCCGCCAGGCGCCTGCGGGTTATGTCAAGTCACGGCCACTGCCAGCTTACCCCATTAGGCCCCACCCCATCCACTGAGGAGCGTAGGAGGCCCCGAGTACGCGCGCCCGCTGGGGATCCAGAGGGCCCTCACACCGGACTCACCTCCGACGGCCGTGCACCTCGGACATGACGCTCAGCTACAGCGTGCGCGGCACTTCCGGCCCCATAATGCCGTGCGCCGCCTCACATCCTCCGCCCGGTCCCGCCCCGCCGCGCGTCGCGGGTGACTCTAGGGTTCTCCGACCGCGACACTGGCGGCCTCTAGGCGGGAGGGCACGTTCGCATCCTTGGAGCCACCTGGCCGAGTCAAGACTCCGCACGCATTCGCCTAGTGCGGCCAGGCTGCTGCTTACGGCTCAGTGCCCTTCTCCATAAGAAGCTGTACTAACGGTTTCCGCTTGGGCAATACAAGGCCGGAACATCCCGCCAGCCATGCCCACAGCCCCACCTGTGCTGGCAATAACCAAAGCACGCAACAGTGGGGACTCCTATGCAAACAGCACTACAAATCAATAACATAACAAGCCCAAACGCTAGTGAGAAAAACAGGAACTAGAAACGGGACATAAGGCAGCTCCGACGATGCCTGGTGATCCAGCCGGCCTGTGAGGTCAGGAAAAGATGCAGTGTCCATCTCGCTGGATGTACTGCAGCACCTGGCAGCCCCATCCACCTTTAGACCGCAGCCGGGAACGCGCCAAAGCACATCTACCCAGGAGCGCGGGGTCTGCGGAAGCGGGGCGGGGAGTAGATATTGCTTCTTCGTGTGTGAGGGGAGGCCCATGAGGGTCCGCGGCCTGGACAGCCAGACCCAAGGGCCAGCACCCAGCGCGAGGCCCGGTGCAGCCCGACCAGGCAGGTGGCCTCTGGGGTTCCGAAGTTCGAACCCGGCTCAGTAATGGCACGCGAGGCCCAGGAGTTAACAGGAGGAGAAGGCGAGCGAGTCCGTGGGTAGGGGGATCACTGGAAAAGGAGGAGGACTTGGGGGGCTTTCTGGACTAGGAGGGAGGAGCGCGGGGGATCCCTTCCTCCTAGGAGGAGGGGGGGCGGGTCCCGGGGGACCCCTGTAGAAGGAGGCGGGCTGGCCGGGTGTTGCGACGCAGAGCCGACAGCATCTAAGCGGAATCCCGGAACCTCGCGGGAGGAGGATCGGGCGGCGCCGAGAAACAGCGGCTGCGGCGGCGAGCGCGGACGCGCGGAGGGGCCGCCGCCGCCAAGCAGCCCTCCAGCGGTCCGTGTCCTGCGTTCCGCGGTCGGCGGCGGGTCGGGTGGTCGAGCTCATGCAGCCGCGCGGCGAGCGCCCGGCCGGCAGGACGCAGAGCCCGGAGCAAGGCAGCCCGGGGCCTGGGTCCGAGGCGCCGCCGCCACCGCCGCTGCCGCAGCCACCGGCGTGAGTGGGGCGGAGAGCGGAGGAAAGGAACCAGGGACTGACCGAGGGATGAAGGGAGGGATGGCGGCCCGCAGGCCACCGCTCACCGGCCAAGCCCCTCGGTGCTCCGGCCATGGCGGGTCCGGCAGGGTGTCCGCGGCCGTGCTATCCCTTGGAGGTCCGGACCCTCAGGCCACCCTTGAACCCTTGGGCAGAGTGTGGCAGGAGGGTCAGCTCGGAGAATCCGGGGAGGTCAGCCTGCTGTATGGAGCAGGGGGTCTGCTTCAGAGGGACAGCATTGGCCAGCTTCCCTCCAGCCCCTCCTGCAGCCCAGTGCACACTGAGGACCCCCATCCCCTGGGGAGTGAGAAGGATGACCAGCGAGGACAGTAGTCTGTTTCTCATGGAGGGGGCTTGAGAAGGGAAGCATGAAGCCCAGGAGAGATGGTGGGCAGAGGAAGCTGGATAGGTCAAAGGACCAGGGCATCAGGCCAGTTGAGAGAAGGTTTAGGAAAGTTTGGTCCAGCTGCAGGGAAGCCCTGGAAGGTGGGGGTGAGTGGTAAGGTGGCCCTTGATGGACTGCTGAGGACACACCTCCCGGGCATGCCTAGAATAACCAAGAGTGGGTGAGTGGTTCCCTACAACACAAACTGACCTGGCCCTGCCCACCTGCAGCCCTGAGGCAGAGCGCGCACGGCCCAGGCAGGCCCGGCCTGCGGCCCCCATGGAGGGTGCAATACAGCTGCTGAGCCGAGAGGGCCACAGTGTGGCCCACAACTCCAAGCGGCACTACCATGATGCCTTCGTGGCCATGAGCCGAATGCGGCAGCGCGGCCTCCTGTGTGACATAGTCCTGCACGTGGCTGCCAAGGAGATTCGCGCACACAAGGTGGTGCTGGCCTCCTGCAGCCCCTACTTCCACGCCATGTTCACAAGCAAGTACCACAGTCTGGGCAGCACTAGGGGGCTCTCTGCAGATCTCCCAGGGCAGGCACCAGCCTGACTCCCTGTCCTCACAGATGAGATGAGTGAGAGTCGCCAGACACATGTGACGCTGCATGACATCGATCCTCAGGCCTTGGATCAGCTGGTGCAGTTTGCATACACGGCTGAGATTGTGGTGGGCGAGGGCAATGTGCAGGTGAGGTGGCCCCAGCCCCAGGCCCATCCCCTGTGGGGTCTCCTGCCCCAGGTCTCTCCATGCCTCAGCCTCCACAGACTTCTTCTTGGTCCCAGGTAACTCTGTGCTTCCCGGCCCCTTCTATGTCATCACATTTCTGTGCCCACAGACTCTGCTCCCGGCTGCCAGCCTCCTGCAGCTGAATGGTGTCCGGGATGCCTGCTGCAAGTTCCTGCTGAGCCAGCTTGACCCCTCCAACTGTCTGGGCATCCGAGGCTTTGCAGACACACACTCTTGCAGTGACCTGCTCAAGGCAGCACACAGGTATGTGCTGCAGCACTTCGTGGACGTGGCCAAGACAGAGGAGTTCATGCTGTTGCCCCTGAAGCAGGTAACTTGCCAACTGAGGCCCAGTCCATACTCTGACCTACCCCAACCCAGTACCCAGCAACCAGTGCCCTGCAACCTTGTCTCCAGCTTCTGACCACATTCCACCCTATGACCCAAGTCTTTGCCTTTGACTCTTGTCCTTACCATGTCCCTGCCCATAATCCCCAATCCCTGCCCTGGTCCCTTATCCCCAAGACCAATGAGGACCTAGAACCGCCTCCGCTCCCCCAGGAATCAAATTGGTGCCTACTGATCTTGCTTGGCCCCCTCCTTGTAGAAACATTAAGAGCCCCAGCCCCTACCTGTCCAACTTGCCCTCCCAGGTACCTCCCCAGGTCTCAAATCAGCACCCCCATCCCCAGGTGCTAGAATTGGTCTCTAGCGACAGCCTGAACGTGCCTTCAGAAGAAGATGTCTACCGTGCAGTCTTGAGTTGGGTCAAACATGATGTGGACACTCGAAGGCAGCATGTCCCAAGGGTGAGGGCCAGGCCCTGGGGCTCCCGTGGTGTCTGGGAGGGGACACAGTTGGTTAAGGCCTGGGTATGCTTCATGGAGTCCCTGGCCTCTCTGCTCAGGGACTTCATGGGGGCAGTGCAGGCACCTGTCTCAAGAACCCATCATACATGTGGTATGAGCATCTAAGCAGGGTCTTGACCCTGGGGCAAGTATGTCTGAGGGTCTTTCTGACCTCGGCACCCCCTGCCCCAGCTGATGAAGTGTGTGCGGCTTCCCCTGCTGAGCCGTGACTTCCTCCTGGGCCACGTGGATGCTGAGAGCCTGGTGAGGCATCACCCCGATTGCAAGGACCTGCTCATTGAGGCCCTCAAGTTCCACCTGCTACCTGAGCAGAGGGGTGTCCTGGGCACCAGCCGCACACGGCCCCGGCGCTGTGAGGGTGCCGGCCCTGTGCTCTTTGCTGTCGGTATGCCAGGCCCCTTCCCCCTCCGGTTCCTGCCCTGGACCTTCCACCCCTATTCACAGCACAAACCCAGCCCACCACACTGGTCAAGTCTTGACCTGCTTCTTCCTCCCTCTCCATCCAGGGGCTTCTCAAGGACCCTGTGGGATGTGACTCACCAGTGTGACCCAATCCCCATCTCTTCCTACCCCTAGAGCCCAGATACCCTTATCCTCAAATTGTGTGAGAACCTCCCTGGGCCCCTCCTACCCTGCCACCCCTTCCCTAGGTGGCGGGAGTTTGTTTGCCATCCATGGAGACTGTGAAGCATATGACACTCGAACTGACCGCTGGCACGTGGTGGCCTCTATGTCCACACGTCGGGCCCGGGTGGGAGTCGCTGCTGTTGGGAACCGGCTGTATGCTGTGGGCGGGTAAGCATAGAGGCTGGGCTTGGGTCAGGGGCTTGGTATGTGCTAGGCCAGCCTTGATCAGTTGTGTCTCCTCCCTCAGCTACGATGGGACCTCAGACCTGGCTACCGTGGAGTCATATGACCCTGTGACCAACACATGGCAGCCTGAGGTGTCCATGGGCACAAGACGAAGCTGCCTGGGTGTAGCTGCCCTGCACGGGCTTCTGTATGCGGCTGGAGGCTATGACGGGGCCTCCTGCCTCAACAGGTAGTAGCGGGGTTGGCTGAGCAATAGGAGGTGAGGCTGTGTCATGACCATGAAGTCACATCTACAGGCTACAGCAGCAGCAAGACTGAGCTCTGTTCCACCCCTTTATCTCTCTGGGGTCCTCCCTCCAGTCCAGGGGTTGGGCCCAAGGGTATATTTGCTCAGGATCATACAGGCAGCCAATGGCCTGTCCCCACCTAGCAGGCCTTATTGTCCAGTCTGGTAGGATTCTGGGGTCAGGGTGATACCCAGCATGAGATTTCAGCTGTTCCATTGGGAAGGGCAGGTCCAGGGGCAAGAGTACCCTACTGTCCTAACTGAGGGTCAGCACTGATCTGGTGCCCACAGTGCCGAACGATATGACCCACTGACGGGAACATGGACATCCATCGCTGCCATGAGCACTCGGAGGCGATATGTGCGTGTGGCCACACTCGGTGGGTGACAGGGCCTACTTCCCGTGGTGCCAGCTCTCCTGCCCATCCCACCCCCCAGATCCCCATACCCAGCTGGATCACCAAGGGTATGTTGCTTCTCTACAGATGGGAACCTGTATGCTGTGGGTGGTTACGACAGCTCATCACACCTGGCCACCGTGGAGAAGTACGAGCCCCAGGTGCAAAATGCACCCCCATCACTATTATCCCCTTCCAAGTGCTTTAGATTCTACCTTCTGGTCCCCTGTGCCCCTCAAGGGATCTGCCTGTACATTTCACCCCATCTCTCAGTCACCCACCCTGGAGCAGGGTCTGTGTTGTGGCAGAGGAGGGATACCTTTGTTGGCTCTACCTTCAGCCTGTCCCTTCATCACCACAGGTGAACTCATGGACACCTGTGGCCTCCATGCTGAGCCGGCGCAGCTCAGCGGGTGTGGCAGTACTGGAGGGCGCCCTTTATGTGGCTGGGGGCAACGATGGCACAAGCTGCCTCAACTCAGTGGAGAGATACAGCCCCAAGGCTGGCGCCTGGGAGAGCGTGGCACCCATGAACATCCGCAGGTCTGCAAGCCAGGTGTGGGTGGTGGGAGGTGGGCGGTTGTACCGCCATAACTGGCTTTACCCTACCAGACTAGCTCCAGGGTTAAGAAAGCTCTATCTGAGCCCCACCCCTACAGCTTCTCTTGACCTGCCCTCTGGTCCACCCCCAACTTCTCTTGGCCAGGGGCCCCCTCAGCTCTTAGCTCTGCCCTGCAGCTCACCCCAGCCCTCCCACTCCCAGGAGCACACACGATCTGGTGTCCATGGATGGATGGCTGTATGCTGTGGGGGGCAATGATGGCAGTTCAAGCCTCAACTCCATCGAGAAGTACAACCCAAGGACCAACAAGTGGGTGGCTGCATCCTGCATGTTCACACGGCGCAGCAGCGTGGGTGTGGCAGTGCTGGAGCTGCTCAACTTCCCACCACCCTCCTCGCCCACGCTGTCGGTGTCATCCACCAGTCTCTGACCCGCAGCATGGACTACATAGAGGCCCCAAAGCCTCCCACATGCCTTAAGCCCCATAGGGGGGCCTCAGCACCTCCCTTTCCTGGGCAGTGTGTTGGGGGCGGGTCATGGCCCCCACCAGGGACTTCCTGCACCATCTGTCCATGTCTCTGCGTTCATTCCTGTGTTCATTTTCTTGTGTGCCGTTATTTATCTACGCACTTATTTATTGACGCATTACTTACTGACGGATGAGCAGTACTGCAGCTACCAGTTATGCATTTACTCTCAAGCGTCGCCTCTTCTGTGTGCAGGGGACCAAATGGCCCTCCAGAGTGTCCTTCCACATGGCTCCCTGCCTGGGGACAGCGGGGAGTGATGGGGTAAGACACTCACTGCAGGGAGTGTTAGCGGCCCAGTTGGGCTCCATGGACATGAGGCAGATGCAGAGCAGCAGCCAGGTTAACTGAAAAGGAGCAGGGAGGGGGGCTTTCTAAGAAGATGCAGACCCCCAGCCAATGCTTCGCACACTGCACTTACCTGGCCCCGCCAGGCACTGACCCCAGGAAGGCAAAAAGCAGACTTATTTCCTGTCTGCAGTGCGGTGTCTTTTCTGGGTCTTACATGGAACTGGGCACACACCATGCACTCAGACCCTACACAGCAATATGAGCCAACTTGAACAATAAACATGTTTCTTGGGCCCCGTGGGCCTGAGGCTGAGTGTCCATCTCTGGCCTTTTTTTGTCCCCTCTGCTTATGGGGCCTGCAGCACAGCCTTGAATCCTATCTGGGAGCCAGGGTGAGGGTCTGCAGGCAAATGTAAGTGTTCAGCCCAGCTGAGATGTGTTAATGTCCAGGGCATCACTTTTTTGTCAAAGAATCTGTGGGATACTTGTGGACCAGCAAAGGTTGGCTGCTAGCCTGGTCCTAACAGGCTCTGGAGGAAAGGGGTTTGTGTGGAAAACAGTCCTCCGCAGCTCATCTTTACCTAGGAGGCCTGTGGCCTCCTTCCTGCATTTGGTTAAGCCTTGGGAACCCTGTCTTGGGCCTGGCCAGGCAGGAGAGGAAGTTGGCGCAGGGGGCAGGAGGAGAAGGGAATGCATCTGGCTTCCGTCTCACCATACTGCAAACTCCTGCTTCAGAGACTTGAGAGTTAGCTCATGCCCCCTACAGTCACTAGTGACTCAGAGACCAACTGGGGTTAATTTGGAAATAGGATGTGTGCTCAGGTTGGGGGGGGACGGGACATGCAACTAGAAGGAGGGGGTCCCTGGGTTCACCAAGCTGCAGTACCCAGGCACCCCCAATCTGAACAGTCAGTATACTCACAGACCAGGTTCTTCTGAACCCTCCTATAAAGACCAGAGGCTTAGCTGGGGCTCTTGTCCCCATCAGAGATGCCCTTCTGCTGCCCCAAGGCTGGCCTGCGCTCAGGTAGGAGCCAAGCCTCTCCCAAAGAGGCTCCTCCTGCTGGGCCCTGAATAGGGGCAGGGCATCCCACAGCCCCGCCCTTCCCGCCGCCTGCAGGAGGCCTGGGCATGAGGCTACGGACATAGAGGCCCAGACCTATCCACCAGCAGGATCTAGACCAGCCGCTGCCACCCATGGGGAACAACCACTGCGTGCCCCAGACCCCCAGGAGGCTGCGGGCCTCCTTCTCCAGAAAGCCTTCTTTGAAGGGGAATAGGTGAGGGGGGGAGCGGGCCTGGCCATGTGGGTAGAGGGTCTCCCTCAACCTGCTGTCAGTGCCAAGCCATGAGCCCCCTTTCCCTTGTCCCCAGAGAGGACAGCGCGAGGAAACTGCCCAGCTTGCTTGGCACTGAGGCCCGCCTGGACAGTGACACCGCCGCGGACAAGATCTTCCACTACATCCCCGGGACGGTGAGCAGAGGGGTGTGTCCCGCTGGAGCGTAGCTGCCTGGGTGGTCTGTGCACCACCTTGAGGCCCCACGTGTTGCGCCTGGTGTCTGAGTGCAGCTTTGCGCTCCCTTGTATGACTACGTGTGTCACCGTGTGCGTGACAGTGTGTACGTCGCATTTTCACGCAGCTCTGGGTCTTCCCTGTCAACCTGGGGGATTCAGACCCAAGGCCAGGTAAGGAAATGGACACTGCCCCGCCCTTGGAAGCTCATCCCCCGAAAGTCTGGGCCAAGAGCGAAACCGAGACTTGCACTGAGTCAGTGGTGAGCCGTGCAGGCCGGGCGGGGCCTCGGTATGCTGTACTCAGAGGGGGCCGCGCCCACCCGCCCCCACCAATACATGGGCCGAGTGCAGCATCTATGTTTAGCCGTGTCAGGGGTCACTGAGAGAGTAAGGGGTTGCCAGTGAATAGGGAGCCAACTTGCTGCCTACTCCAGGCCTCCGTTTCTCCCAGGGGGGCGTCTAGCAGGAAGCTGCTACACCCCTCTCCCAGTGTCAGCAGCCCACAGCTACTGTTACATTCTAAGCTGACGCCCCTCCTCCACAAAGCAAGGAGCAACCCCCTGAGCACCGATAGGCCACTCTGGCAGAAGAGGCAGGCGATCACGCCCCTGTCCACCCCCAGCCCCTAATGCGTCTCAGGGCTAGCTGAGGGGGGACAACTTTAGGGCCCCTTTTCCCAATTTTGTTGGCATTGGGTTGGGAGGAACCTAGGCTGTATGTCTGACAGGAGTGCCTCCCATCTGTGCCCTCCCGGGACCACACCCACCAAGTGGGCAGGGCTCTGTTATGTGTGGTGGCACCAGAAGCTCCATAAGGAGGATGTTTGTGACACTGGACCAGGGGCTAGGTATTGGCCTCATCCTGTACACTTTGGTGGGACTTCCAGAGCCCACCTTTGCTATGTGCTCCAACCAGGCTAAGAAGCCTGTGCCACTCCATCTCCAGCTTTCTGAGGTACCAGGGCTTCATGCAGGCAGGTGCCTGCTTCAGAAATAATGCTGCCTCAGAGAAGTGGACAGAAAAAGGGGGACTGGCATGTCCAGAGTGAGGTCCTTCTGTATGGCCACATCTCAGACCCTGACTCACTGTCCAGTCCCAGGATACAGTGTGACCCTGGAAGGGAGTTTCATAAGGCATGTTGGCCCTAGTGGTCCTCCTTAACTAGGACACAGCATCTGAACCTCAGGAGGCAGGGCTCTGGACCCAGAATGGAGCAGGTGCTCCTGGGCCCTGCACCTGGACTCTGAGTGGCTTCTGCACCTATGCTAGAGCTGGCCCTGTCACACTTTAAACTGAGTCCTCTCTTGTACCCCAAGACTGAACCTGGGCCCCAGGACCAGCTGCATGGCCCTTCCTGATTCATGGCCTATTTTTCACGGATGTCATCTGGTGTCAGTTCCCACACTGGGTGTGAATACGGGAGGCCCCACCCAGAGACAGGGAGGACAGGAGTTGTGTGTCTGTTCACATTCCTGGGCCTATCCAAGGGACAGTGCAGCTTGTCAGAGGCACAGCAGCCCATGCTGGGGGCCCTGGACAGGTCCTAAAGGACCTCAATTTACCCCTAAGCCAGTGAATCACAGCCTTCCCAAGCCCATCAGCACTGGTCCCTACCTAACCATAATGTGATATCAAACCTCTGATTTATAAAGAACTCTATGCCAGGACTGGGTAAGTGTTGTATAGATGTTAAGCCTCCCTCCCTCCTTTCAGAAGACTGCAGAACCCACCCCCCACCTTCCCACCCCTGCCCCCAGCACATCCCAGGCCCTATCCAAGACTCTGGGAACAAAACAGTGAATGAAATAGACCAAGATCTCTTTTTATGGTGCTCCCATTCCCATTATAGAGATAGATAATACAAACAACAACAAAAAATACAGTAAGGCAAATTAAATCAGTACTAAGGAGAAAAGTAAGGTTGGAGTTTTACAAGGGTATCCAGAGCAATCTGAGCAAAGCCCTGAAGGGGCAAGGTGGGAATTTGGGACTGAATGCTCCCAGCAGAGGGACAGTAAATGGAAAGGTCCTAAGATGTGAGGGAAAATGAGGGGGGCAGTTGGAGAGGGGCAAGTCATAGAGAACCTCTCAGGTCATTGCTAGCACTTTGACTTCTACTATGAATGAGATAAAGTGCATGCTTGGATAGGTTCATAAGAGCTGACTGTAACATCTCTTCCCAACTCCAAGTTCATGGGCATTGTGTTGGTAGCTTGAAATGGGCAGTGTCAGGAATATTATTTACAGCAAGAAAATGTTATAAATCAGAGCCTTGGGGTCTTTGTTTTCATTTATTTGTTTTTCATAGAACCAGGTATTAAATCTTTTGTCAGATGACACTGGAGACATGAGAGGCTTTAGAGTACTATCTCATACAGACACCCCAAAACTCCTTGAGAAGTCTGGGAAGGTTAAATGACAAACACAACCTAGTCTGCCATAGACCAGGCAGCCTAACCAGAAACTGTGTGTGTGTGTGTGTGTGTGTGTGTGTGTGTGTGTGTGTGTGTGTGAGATATTCTGCCACTGTTGTCTTGTGAAGAGTATGAGTATATGTGTAGGCCTGCACATACATGTGTGTCCTTGATACATGTATTTCTGTGACCATGTGTGAACAGCCCAGGCCTGTACAGGATTGTGGTTTGTATATTAGCTGGGTCTCTGGCCCCATCTGGCCCTTCCCTTGAACCCTGCTCCCCCAGGACATTCCAGGCCTGCAGAGTCAGCCAGAAAACCTGGAGCAGCCATTCCTGAGTGTGTTCAAGAAGGGGCGAAGCAGGATGCCTGTGAGGAACCTGGGCAAGGTTGTGCACTATGCCAAGGTCCAGTTGCGGTTCCAGCACAGCCAGGTGAGGGTATGTTCAGGGATCAACATCTCTGCTAGCCTGAGGCCTGGCCCCCAGACCCTGAGACTGGCAACCCTCCCCTCCCTTAGGACATCAGTGATTGCTACCTGGAGCTGTTCCCCTCCCACCTCTACTTCCAGGCCCATGGTTCTGAAGGACTCACATTCCAGGTGAGGGGCATGGGCAAAGAAAGGGGATGGCTGCGCCTCTTGGGAGTCCCTGCAGCCCCTCCTACCCTGTGCTCTGGCAGGGACTGTTACCTCTGACAGAGCTGAGCATCTACCCACTCGAGGGGTCCAGAGAGCACGCCTTCCAGATCACAGGTGTGTGGTGGGCATCTCCCAACCCAGCCCTGGGGTCTGTGTGGAGCTGCTGGAGAGGGAACTTTCCTGTGAGCTTCTGGGGATTCCAAGCTCAACCCCTACAGTCCACTTGGCTTCTCTGCCCCCACCTCCAGGGCCACTACCCGCCCCCCTCCTCGTTCTCTGCCGCAGTGAGGCTGAGCTTAGTCTCTGGCTCTACCACCTGGAGAAACAGATGGCTCTCATGGGGGGACTGCAGCGCTGTCACTCGGCACCCCCACAGGTCACCCCACAGGTCAGTGCCAGGAATTTGCCATCCCCTCCACCATCCCAACTCTTCTGGCCTGCCCCTGACCTCCTCTTCCCCAGGTATCCCATGGGGATAAGCTTCCCTGGGCTCTGCAGCAGCGACTGACCCAGCTGCAGAGGGCATCAGGACGGGAATTGGTGGGCAGCGCCATCTGTGCATCAAGGGTCAAGCTGCAGCACCTGCCCTCCCAGGTGGGTGAAGGGGGCAAGGGGGTGCAAGGAGATGGAGAAGGATGCATGCAGCAGGTGGGGCCCTGCCCTGGGTGCCTAGCCCTACTCCATTCCTTGACTCCTTGCAGGAGCAGTGGGACAGGCTCTTGGTTCTGTACCCGGCATCCCTAGCCATCTTCTCTGAGGAGCCAGATGGGCTTGGCTTTAAGGTGGGTCCTCCTCACATGGACCTGCCCACAGGGAGGCACCCTGTGTGAGGTGGGGGCCACGACTCAGAGAAACCTGTATTTCGAGGCCTGTTGGGACAGAACACAGGGCCCCGCCCGTCTGGCCCCATTGTCCTGGTCAGTCTGGTCTTGTTCTGAGGCAGAAGAGTTCCCACTCTGCACATCTCATCTTGTCCTGGAGGGTCCACAGCCACCAGCCAAGCCACTCCATGGAGTGGGGCTGCTCCTGGGAGTCCTTCATGTGTGTTTACCCCAGTGCCTCTGAGCTAGTATGCACTCATAGTTACTGAAAAACACTGCCAGGGACCAGTCCCCATAAGCATCTGTCTGCATCTTGCCATGGGCTGGCGAGGGTCCACCAGCAAGCAGAAGTGAAGATGTCCAACCCAGCTCTGGAGCAAGACAGAAGGATGGGGCCAGGCAGGCACTTGGAGTACCCCTGATGAAGGCCAAGTCCTCACTCCCTGCTCCACAGGGGGAGCTGCCACTGAGTGCCATCCATATCAACCTGGAAGAGAAAGAGAAACAGATACGCTCATTCCTGATCGAAGGTGAGGTCCCACCCCAGACTCTGACTCTGCCCCTGGCCTGGCTGGGCTGCTAGAAGGGGGATGTGAGCCTGGTACATGCCCCAGATCATGGATGGGGGCTCTGTTGGGTACAGGGTACACTGTCCTGCAGGCCTCAACCTGTGTCTGTATTCCAGGCCGCCTCATCAACACCATCCGTGTGGTGTGTGCCAGCTACGAGGACTACAGCCACTGGCTTTTCTGCCTCCGCACAGTCTCTTGTAGGGATGGCCCCCCACTGCTGCCCAGCCCTGAGAGCTTCCAAGGGTTTCAGGGGCCCACAGAGGTGAGGTTCTGAGTAGTGGTACAAACGGGGGCAGAGGGGTGGATGCAGGCATGGGTAATTGGGAAGGGATCTGGCCACCCAGCTCACATCTGGCTGCCCAGGTTATGGGTGGTGGCCGAGGTTCTCTCTCCTCGGATGGACGGACCAGCTGGGACTCGGGGTGCCCAGCACCCCACTCCACCCGCACCAGCCACTCCCTCCTGGAGTCCTCAGTACTATCCACTACAAGCTGCTCTGCCCAACCTGCACTTGTGAGTACCTGGAGGGTGACAGAGGAAAGTAGGCAACAAGCCATGGGGCTTCCATGTGCTGGGGAACCTGGGTCCCACTGCCCCATCCCAAGCCTGGTTCCTCAGGGAGGGGTCTTAGACTGGAGGGACAGAGAATTGTGTGGGAGAAGGGCCTAGGGGAACTTTCTGGTATGTTCTTGTTTCCCACAGGACCAGGGCAATCCTGAGTATGCCAGCATTGGTCGAAGAAGGGCAGAGCTGAGACATGGCAAGCACAGCCAATCACCCAGAGGCAGAACCCGAGGGGAGGTACCTGGCCCAGCCACCCCACTGTCCCTGCATCTGGACCTGACCAAGGTAGACCCAGCACAGGCCCCAGCCCTGGGCCTCTCTCCCTCCTGCCTCCACCTACCTGACCTGTCTCTTAGCCCAGGTGGTCCTGGATCTCCCACAGACCCTTTGCTCTGAAGACAGAAGGCACTGACTGCTTTCAGCTGGAGGAATCTGTGTTTCTTACCTCTTCTTGCAGGTGAGCGGGCCCAGCCTGGAAGGCAGCCTTGAGGCCCCAGACCAATCTTTGGACACACCACATTCCCCACTCTATGCTGATCCTTACACACCACCTGCTACCTCCCATCACAAGATCACAGATGTCCAGGGCCTGGATGAGGTCAGTGTCCTGATGGGTGACAGGGCTGAATGTGCCACAGCCTGAGGTCAGAGAGATGCCCAAAGACTAAGGTCTGTTCTGACTATGAAGGGAGGCTAAGGGGGTTTCTGGGTCAGGGGTCCTTGAGCTCCCTGGCAGACCTAGCCCTGAACCTCAGGTTACCCACACCTTCTGGCAGTTCCTCAGTGCGATGCGGATCTCACCTGGACTGGAGCCATCGAGCCCATTCCCCTCAGTCCCTGTGTCTGTGCCTGTCTGTGACTCCAGCTCTGGACTCTCTAGTTCCCCTGGACTTCCAGGCTCCCATCTGCTCTCCAAAAAGGGAGCTCCACAGTCCCGAGCCTCACAGAGGCACCGAGGCTCCATCAAAGGCCAGGGGCCACGACCCCCAGACTCCTCAAAGCTCGTGAGTAGCAGCCCCTGCCCTGGTGTGAGGAGACCCAGGCCCTGGGCTCAAAGGGGCCTGGGAAGGGGCTCCCGAGACTCTGGGGGGAAAGTAGATGCCAGAGAGTATGGGGTAGGCACAGGCCAGGGACAGAGACATGGGGTAGCAGGACAGGGAACCTCAGATCAAGGAGAGGATGGTGCAGGGCCAGGGGGCAAAGATAGGGAAGGGGCTGTCAGATTGGGTGGGCTAATCTGTCCCAGTTCTCAGACTTGTGTTTTGGGATTCCCAGGTTGTCCCTGCCAAGAAAGTTTCACCCGGCACCCTGCTGCCTCCTCCAGGTGAGTGAGGGTCCTGCCTCCTCTGGGTAAAGTGACAGGGTGTTGCTTCCTACAGGCCAATATGTGATGTGTCTCTGCCCTCCCCACCAGGCGAGTGCCCCATCTGGGACAAGGTTTCATGTCCCTCCCACCAGAAGTGGTCACAGCTCAGGAGGCCTGAGACAGAGGGAGGACTCATTCAGTGGATCTGATGATCCCCAGGCAGGCTGCTTCTCAGAACCACATCCCACCAATGCCAACCTTAAGGGGGATCTGCAGCCAACCTGCCCTCTGCCCCCTTCAGATCCAAGTCAGGGTCTGACCCCAGAAGGTCAAGGGTCTCTCCAGAACCCTGAAAGTACAAGTACCCCTCCCTGGGCTCTGGCCCCTCAGCTTCACCAGCAGCTGCAGCAGCTGGGAGGGGGGGAGCATTGCACTTCATCCTAGGGACATCCTGGCCATCATTCCACAGCCTAGAGAGGAACATCAAGGAGGTCATGGACGTTCCCAGCTGTGTCCCCCAGGGAAGGGAAAGGGAGGGGACCAAACAGGGGCTTTACCTGACAGTGTGGGGGCAGCATAGAAATGAAGGGCAGAGGGCTAAGAGAGTTGAGGTGTCAGGGTCAGAATGTGTGATACCAGAAGGCATGAGGGTCAGAGGTCAGCAAGGTGTGAACTATCAAAAACAGATGTGGGAGAGTACCCAATGTGGAAAACAGAGAAAGGATGCTGAATTGCCAGGAATGTGGGGTAAGGCTAGTCAGAGATACTAACACCATAAATGAGAAAGAGAAATTTTATTGGTGCTGTGTGCCTTTGTTCCTCTAGGAGCAGCCAGGGGTCCCCCTCTGTCTTGGGGACCCTGCTCATGTAGCCTTGGGCAGAACCACATCCTGCCCTGCCATTACTCTCCCTCCTCAGGCCCCTCTCCCAGCTTCCCACCCCAATGCTCTTCTCAGCCTCAGCCCCATGTGAGCTACCTATGATACAGTCCCAGGAGACAGTCCTTCCACTGGAGGTCACTGAGTTCTGGGCCCTCATCCAGGGCTCCCAAAGAGGAACCAGCCCTGCCCCACAGATTCACCCTGTAGGGGCTACAGGAGCCACCTTCAGAGGCATCCACTAGGCACCTGCTCACTGACTCAGGCCTGGCCCAGGCAGGCTGTGGCCATGAACCCTCTGGACTCAGGGGTCAGAGGGGCCTCCATGACACTCACCAGCCCACCCCTCCTGTGAACAGAGCAGAGTCCCTGGATACCCCCCACCCCTCAACTTCAAAGCCACCTAGCATCCTTGTCATGGCCCTACCCAGACTCAGCGGGACCTTGTTGCTCTGACACCCCTCGCCCCAGCATCCTCTCCTGCTGCTCTTCTCACCACATAAGCAGAGAAATGCAAGTGCCCAGTTAAGTTAGATAAACAACAAGTAATTTCTTAGTAAAGTAATGTCTGAAATATTTCATGTCTGAGATTCAAATTTAACTGGGCACCCTGTTTTTATTTTCTAATCTGATGCCCTACTAACCAACTCTCTGCTCAGCACCTACCCATCCAGAATCCCAAACCTTCTCCCTCCTAGGTGTGGGGAGTGGCCTTGGTCACTGGTGAACCCTCAGGTGGAGTCCAAGAGAGTCAAGGACACTGGCTCCCTCCTGAATGCTGTAGAAGACAGGTATCAAAGGCAAGGAAGTGGGCAGCACCTGATCCAGAGCCCCTGGGCTCATCTGGGCATCCTGCGCCTTCTGGGCAGGCCTGGCTCTTAGCAGCTAGGGCTGTGGCTGGGGCTGGGGCTGCGGCTGGGGCTGCGTCCTCGACCCACCTGCCGACGGAAGTAGCGGATGGCAGAGATGGTGCCGATGTTGGCCAGCAAGACTGCAAAAGAAGTACAAGGTCTCCTGGGTGCCAGCTCCAGCTGGTCACCACTTTTTGCCCACATGACTGAGGCCTCAAAGGTCAGGGCAAGGCCAGTGGGGTAAGGTCAGTGGGTTGAAGGCTGGTCAGCAATGAGAGAAGCAGGAGGTCAGCATAGGAAGGCCCACTGGCCCCAGAAGGTGAGATGGACACCATGGCCCCTGCATCTGGTTTCTAGGCACAGCTCCCTCCACCCCAGAGCCCCCAAACCTGTTTTCCAAGCATCTGGGGTATGTAGATCTGAGGTTCTCACAGCCCACGTGGCAAAGGCTACAAACACCAGGCACATGTCATTCTGGCTGAAAGTAAATGAGGTGAGAGGACCCCGGAGCTCCCCTAGGAAAGAGAAGTACACCCTTAGCTGCTTCCTTCTGAGACACACTGACCCTGCCTATGCCTTCCCTGGGACACATCTATCCTGGATATACTTTCCCTAGGACATGTCTGCCCTGGACACTCCTGCTCTGGAACACATCTGTCCTGGCACGTCTGCTCTGGGACATGCCTGCCCTGAATGAATCTATCCTGAACATATCCTCCCGGGACATGTGTATCCTGCCCTGGGCATGCCTGCCTTGGACACACCTGCTCTAGAACATGTCTTTCCTGGACATGCCTACTATAGATGTGCCTGTCCTACACACACCTGCTCTAGAACACATTTTTACTAGACATGCCTGCTCCAGACACACCTGCTCTGAGACTTGTCTGCCCTGGATATGCCTGTCCTGGTATGCCTGCTCTAGAACATGTCTGCCCCAGGCACATCTGTTTGAGTCATATCTTCCCCATGATGTCTCTTCCTCGAGACACTGAGTAATGTGTGTCACAGTTGAGTCAGAACAGTTTCGGGGAGTTGTCTCTGGGGGCTTCTGTTCCCTGGTCTGTGAAACAGCTTCCAGGAAAAGGGGAGCTTTCTTCCTACAGTGCCTGAGCCTACAGGCAGCCTGGCTTGAGTGGGAGTGGTCCCCTGAAGCTGGGGGAGGAGCCCTGCTGGCACCTTAGCCTGGACTCTGGGCAATGGTCAATACAGAACCAAACCCATGAATGGCCATGGTACCTGCCCTGGGATGTCCCATCTGCACTGTGTCCTGGGAAGGCTGGAGTTTGCCCTTCCCTCCCAGCAGGTCCCCACTGCAGGGTTCTGCACTGCCTCCCCCACCACCACCATGTCTACTTGGCCTAGCTCCCTGGACAGTGTGTTCCCATGCCCTGGACAGGCCATAGGGCTTGAGCAACACCTACCTGCCCGCCTGACCGCCAGACTGAGCTGCTGTGTTGTGACTGGGCCAGGCTTGGGGGGTGCCCCAAGCCCCACTTCCCTGAGAGGCTCAGTGGTCTGCAATTGGAGAAGGGTGGCTGGTGGCAGTGCATCCCCAAGCCCATCCTCCTCAAAGAAGTGTTCATAAGCCTCAGGAATGGAGATGGGCACTGGGTCTCCAGGTAGAGTAGCTGCCGCAGGCTCAGCTCTTGGGGATGGCATTGGAGAGTGGTGCCCCTGGCACCTTGACCTCTGGGCTCGGCAGTCCTGGAAGAAGAACTCACACATGTCCGGCCACTGAACTTCACCCAGGGCCTGGCTGGCTGCTGCCTCACCCGCCACATCTTCTTCCTCCTCCTCAATGGTGTCACAGAAGAAGAACTCATAAGCCTCGGGAAGGGTCACTGCAAAGCGGCTCCCAGGCTCAGGCCCCACTGAGGCAGAGGGGGATGGGGGTGGCAGGTGCTTGAGGATTCGAGGCTGAGGGGACCGGGGACCCACAGCCACAGCATCCCAGGCTGCAGAACCCCCACGACCCCCGATTGCTGTCCTGGAAGCTGGGATCCAGGGTGTGGTTGATGAGGGTGAGCCTGCAGCCTCACCTGACCCTAGCTCCTCAGGGCTGGGCATGGTCATGGAGAATCGCACTTTCTTCCTCTTTGGGACTTGAACAGAGCCCTGTAGGGGCTCTCCAGAGGGGTCTCCAGGGGCTCCTGCTGAGGGCTCCCTTCTGGGCTTCTCTCGATGTCCCTCTGGAGTTACAGCACCTTTGGTGTCCACCAGAGTAGCTTCAGCCCAGGGAACAGGGAGCAAGGAGAGTGCAGCAGGTGTATCATCCATATCAGATGCAGTCTTGGAAGCAGAATGAAGCAGAGCTGCATGTGGCACAACCATTGAGATGGGTGGAGACAGATCTACCCCTGGCTTCAACCCTGTGCCTGATATGCCCACATATAGTCTGCTTGTGGAGGCAGATGCAGACCCAGACTTGTCAATCTGAGTTGAGGAGGCAGGTGTAGACAAAGACATGTCAGGTTGAGGTTTGGAGGCAGGTGTAGACAAAGTCATGTCAGGCTTGGAGACAGATATAGACAAAGCCATATGGGGTTGAGGCTTAGAGGCAGGTATAGACAAAGTCATGTCAGGCTTGGAGGCAGGTGTAGACAAAGCCATATGGGGTTGAGGCTTGAAGGCAGATGTAGACAAAGTCATGTCAGGCTTGGAGGCAGGTGTAGACAAAGCCATATGGGGTTGAGGCTTGCAGGCAGGCGTAGACGGAGCCATGTCTGACTTAGCCATGGAGCTATCTGGATGAACCTCCTGGACAGGTATGGATATGGTGTGCAGCTCAGCTCTGGGAGTCATTCTGATCTGGTCTGTCCCTTGCTCAGTTGTTGGGATAGATGTAGACAGATCCAAGCCAGGCCCTCGTCTGGCAACCAGCTCAGGGGACCCGGAGCTGGGCTTAGGAGCATCTGCAGAGTCTGGCTCTGGCTTGTCTTGCTGGACCTCTGCCGTCAGCTTTGCTGTCCCAACCACAATGCCCTCAGGCCTGGCCTCATGGTATCCCAGCTGGGTAGCCACAGGGCCTGGGGCTCCCAAGTGCCCTCCCCACTTGGCACACACAGCACTCCTCTTCTTACGTCCAGGACTCCAAGGTGGGACTCCAGGGTTGTCGAGTGACTTCTGGGGGGTGAGACTGCAGCCAGGAGACTCAGGACTCTGAGGGGGCTCACCAGGGGGGCTTGGAGCAGGGCCCTGAAGAAGCCTCTGCATCTCGCCTCTGGAAGCTGCTGGCCCTGGCAAGGAGGAACACTGAACCAGCGGGATAGTGCCTGAGCTGAGGGACAGCAGACCTTCTGACAGTGCAGACGTGCCGACTGCCTGCTGACTGGCCTCCAGAGCCAAGATAGGCTCACACTGAGACCTGCTGATCAGCTGTTGGGTGGCCACGACCTCTCCCCCCTCCTCGCACCCCCACCAGTCCCTCCTCCCCAGAGCCAGCTGCCCAGTAAGGAGTGGTGGGGGCCCAGAGGGGCTGCTGTCACTGCTATCCCCTTGATCAATGTCACTGGACAAAAGCTCGTCCCCAGAGGCCAGTCCAGCCTGCAGGAGGCCACACTCATCAGCGGTGGCCGAGAACTCAGCCCAGTCCTGGTCGCTAAGTTGAACGGTGTACTGGAAGTTGTCCATCACAGGTCAGCAGAGGTGCTGGAGCAATGGAAGGGCTTTGAGGATTCAGGCCCCACATACTGAGCAGCACACACAACTACCCTGCTTGCCACGAGGGCACCTGCCCCCTCCTTGGCACTCCATCTCCACTTGGAAGGGTCCCAGAGAACAGGTTCTGCTTCTTTCAGATCTAGTTCATTCTTTCTTCTGAGTTAGAAAGTCCCAACTCCAACTTTTTCTATTTCCAAATGATAACTACCATGACACATTGTTACAGTCCTAAAATCAAATATGATTTCATATTAGAGAAGTAAGCTAAAAATGTGTTGGCTTTGTTTGGATGGGTGTTCCCACGCATCTCAGATCTGCTTAGCAGAGTTGGCCTCCCTTTTCCACTTCCCTTCTCAGTGGTCTGCAATCAGAACCACCAGGGATCAGTTTCCCCAATGATGGTCAGCCCTGTCCTATCCCAGTATGCCCCAGGTGGCAGTTGGCCACAGAGAAGGGGGTGCACCATCCAGCAGGTGACCATCTTTTGGAGTGATGACCTTCCACCAGCCTTGGCTGGGGTAGACTTCCTCTGAGCTCACCAAGGTCACACTGGTGTAGGCCAGAGCTGGCTCAGGGGTCAGCAGAAACAGTCCAGGCCTGAAGTTACCAAGTGGCAGTTATCACCCCAGTGGCCCCCTCAAGCTATCCTCAGGGTCTACACGCCCCCCCCAACCAGTCTTGTTCAGCTGACCAAAGCCCCATTATGCCCCATCTCAGTGAGCTAAGGTGACCTAAGCTGACCACAACCTCCATCCTCTTACCCCTAGAGGCGATGGATGCCCTTTAGCCCTCAGTCATCTACAGCTAGACCTAGGGGATTGGGAGGTCACTCTGGCTGGGACAGGTCCTAAGGGAGAAATGCCTGGAGGCCAGGACACCGTGGCTTCTTACAGCCCTCTCCTCCTCCAGCCCCACGCGCTGGTCCTGAAGAGGCCTTGGCAGGGGCTGCCTGTTGTTGGGACCCCTAGACTGGAGTAAGGGGATGACCATGTCCTACCTGGGTCTTGGCAGCCAGTTGGAGTAGTGGAGCTGGGCATCTAGCGGCCTGTCCCTGAGCGACATGCTGTTGGGCTTGCCCTGCAAACTCCACCCCCACTGCCAAAAATATACCACCCCTGGGCTCACATGTGACTCATGCCAGCCTCAGGGTCAGGCCACAAATAGATGGCATTTGAGGGGCCTCCAGCTATGTGAAGGATGTCTTCCTGGTGCAGGGCCAGGGCCCGGGCTGGCGCTGGTTAAAGTCACATCAGACTTCAGCCAGTGAATACTGTCCAGTGATCTGTACTGCATGGGTCTCCCTTTCCAAGCAGAAGGCCACCTGCACTTCTCTCTCACTTCAAAACCTCAGATTCACCCCACCTGCTGCTCCAATGTCCCCAGTCCACCTTTGCAGATGGCCTTGCTGACCTGGGGCAGAGCCTGCAGCTCCCTGCCTGAACTCCAGGGTTCACAAGGGCTCCCTGAGCCTGCTGGTGGGGATGGGGGACAAAAGGGGCATCTAATACTCTCTGTGGGGGTTCCCAAGATGAGCATGGACCCTGGGCCTCAGAGAAGGTTAAGAGGGGCAGTGGGACAAAATGAGTTCACGCCTGACTTTGACTTCGGTGGACAGGCCCAAGATGGGCAAACCCACCAGCCTCTATTGGGCCCTCACGAGGACCCTTGAGCACCTTTCTGTGAATGCATTCATCTTGAGAGCAAGCATCAAAAGGACCCTTCCTTCTGAAGGTCATGAGGCACAGAACGGGTGAACAACTTGCACACAGCCAGTAAGTATTAGAGTTGGGTCCCAAAGTCCTGCTCTTAACCCTACACTAGCTGCAGAACAAGAGGGCACCCTCCAAGTCATCCTGACCTTGCCCCCAAGGTCAGGACCCATACAGTTCCAGTTGAGGGACAAGAGGATGGGTATAGCCAGGCATGGTGGTACATGCCTATAATCCCAGTATTCGGGAGGTGGAGGCAGAGGATTGAGAGTTTGAATCCAGCCTGGGCTACATAATGAGTTCAAGGACAGCCTGAGATACATAGCAGGACCCTGTCTCAAAAATCCAAAGGCTGGGGGTATAGCTGAGTGTTAGAGTGCTTGCCTAGCATGTGAGGCCCTGGCTTCCATCATCAGCAAATACTGGCACCAAAAACAAAAACAAAAACCCCCACCACACTATTGATGCATCTTCTCCTGTCTCTTCATTATTTTTTGTCACTTTCCTGCATCTTTTTTTTTTTTTTCCTTTTTCTTTTTGGTATTGGGGTTTGAACTCAGGGTCTCAAACTTGCTAGGGAGGTGCTCACTTGAGTTATAACTCCAGGCCTAAAAGAGTATTTTCTCTGTATCTTTTCTTGTTGACTTGTAGAATTTATTATATACTCTGCTTTGTTTTGTTTTGTGATGTTGTGGATCAAACCCAGGGCCTCATATATACCACAAAGCCTAATCTCAGCCTGTCACATGTTCTGAATATTATTGAATATCTGTATTGTGACTATGACTGTGTTGACCTCTCTCTTTTTTGGTTGGACTGCAGTTTGAACTCAGGACTTTGCACTTGCAAAGCAAGCCCTCTACCACTTGAGCTACCTCTCCAGCCCCAAATGGAAGTTTGATTTTTTGTTTTTGTTTTCTTTTGGCAGTACTGGGGTTTGAACTCAGGGCCTCACACTTGCTAGGCAGGTGCTCTACCACTTATGCCACTCCACCAGCTGTCCCTCTCTTTATTGTTGTTTAATTTTGGTGATACTGGGGCTTGAACTCAGGGCCTTCACCTTGAACCACTCTGCCAGCCCTTTTTGGATGGATATTTTCGAGATAGGGTCTTGTGAACTATTTGCCCTGGCTGGCTTCGAACCATGATCCTCCTGACCTCTGCCTCCTGAGTAGCTAGATTACAGGTGTGAACCAACTGTGCCCAGCTGCTCTGCCTATTTTTGAAATAGGATCTCACGTTTTTGCTTGGACCATCCTGGACTTCAATATTTCTACTTATGCTTCCCACATACCTGGGATGACAGGCATGCACCACCATGCCCACCTGGTTAGAATGGGGTCTCAGGACCTTTTTATGTCCGGGCTGACCTTGAACCACAATTCTCGTGATCTCTGCCTCCCAAGTAGCTACAATACCATATTCTAATAGTACATGAGCAGAAAGTTTAAATTGTAACATAGTCCAGTTTATCAACAATTTCTTTCGTTGTTAGCACATTTTCTGTACTATTAAAGAAACTTTTGCCTGCCCCAAAGCCATGAAAACATTTAAAATTTTTTTCTGGCAGTACTAGGGTTTGAACTCAAGGCCTTGGTGCTTGCTAGGCAGGCACTCTACCATTTGAGTCATACCCCCAGCTCTTCTTTGCTTTACTTATTTTTTAGGTAGGATCTTGCATTTTTGCCCAGGCTAACCTGGACCACAATCCTTCTATCTACGCCTTCCAGTAGCTAGAATCACAGGGGCTTGCCACCGCACTTGACTTATTTGTTAAGATGGAGTATCACTAACTTTTTGCCTGGGCTGGTCTCAAACTGTGATCCTTCCAATCTCTACCTCCCAAGTAGCTGGAATTACAAGCATGAGCCACCATTCCTACTGTTCCTGACCTTTTTTTTTTCTTTGAAAAAAAAAAACCTCTCCACTGCTTCTCCTTTAACAACACATCTCATATTGTTTTTCATGGGTGGAAGGAGTCGCCCATGGGTGATGGTGCACTGTCTTGTTCCCATATGGGCCCAGGAGACCCAGTACCACATCTCTGCTAAGGCAGAGCAGTGTAACCTGGCCAAAGGATGAGAGGACCACATGTGTCTCTATGGCCAGAGGCACAGCAGCTGGGCCCCACATGAACTTCATGAGATGAAAAGACTCTGGGGAGCTTGGGGCAAGGGAATAACATAACCTCCCTGTAGAGAGGGAGGCAGAGAGGCGGGACTATGGTGGAGGAAAGAAGGGTCTTACCCTGGGTCCAGGCCTTGTGGACAAGCTTCACTGGTATTGGCCCAGCCTTCATAGGGAAACCCTTCATCCACTCTTACACCAACCATGAACCTTCTCAGTGGGGTGCAGTTGGAGATGTCTGCCTAGATGGGGCTGTGTGGCCGGTCTCAACCCAAGGAGGAAGAATATGCCATGTTCAAAACCCAGCTCTGTGGGGGAAGGCCTTAATTCTCAGTAGAGACATCACCTGGGCCAGTAGCACAAGTGAATGTGTAGACGGAGGGATGAATCCGTGGCCATTGAGGTGGGAGGAGCAGACCAGCCAGAAAGGGACCATAATGGGAAAGGAGCTGCGCCTGCTGTGCCACTAGAGGCCACTAGAAGGCACAAGAACTTCCCTGGGAGCCAGGCTGCAAAGCTGGGGGCTACTCTGGTCTAGGGGTTCCTAAGTCCTGTTTCCTCCCACTAAGGAGAGAGAAGGATGGAATGGGGGCTTCTTGAGGAGCTGCCAACCCCTTTTAGTGAAACCATGTAGTTCCTTTCAAGTTCTCGACCTTGACACAGTCAACTCTCAAAAGTAAAAGCTAATTTTCAATGAGCAGCGACAGGTGATCTAAACGCACTGCAGCCGGGCACCAGTGGGGTTCATGCCTGTAATTCTAGTTATTCAGGAGGCAGAGATCAGGAGGATCACAAATTGAAGCTAGCCCCAGGCAAATAGTTCGTGAGGCCCTATCTTGAAAAAAATCCACCACAAAAAAGGGCAGGAGGAGTGGCTCAAACAGTAAGTGTGCCTGCCTAGCAAGTGGGAAGCCCTGAGTTCAAACCCCAATGCTGACAATAAATAAATGAATAAATGCACTGCACAGGCATAGGCTTCTGCCTTTCTTCTAAAAATAGTCTTGGGCCGGTGGAATGACTCAAGTCGTAGAGTTGCCTGCTCAGCAAGCATGAGCCCTGGAGTTCAAACCCCAGTACCACAAAAAAAAAAAAAAAGTCTTATTGAGGTACACAATAAACTGCAAATATTTAAAGTGTACAATTTGCTAACTCTGACACATGCATGCACCTGTGAAGCCATCTCCATAATCCAGAGAGCAGATGGTTCTGTCACCCAAAAGTGGCTAGTGTCCCTCCCAACCCTGCAAGACACTATTGATCTGCTTTATGTCACTATGAAGTAAGCAGCCTTGTCTAGAATTTTATGTAAAGGAAATCATATAGTATGTGATTTTTTTTGTACAGTACAAAAGAGCATAGTATGTCTCACTGTCACACAGCATAATTATTTTGAAATTCGTCCATACTAAAGTATTTATCATTTTTTTAGTGAGACATATTCTATTGTTGGGTATACCAAAATTTGATTACCCATTCATCTGTTGATGGACATTTGGATTATTTTCAGTATGAGACTATTACGTATAAAGGTGCTATGACATATGTGCACAAATCATTGTATGAACACATTTTCATTTCTCTTGGGTAAATACTTAGGATTGGGATGCCTGGGTCACATCATAGCTATATGTTTAGCTTTTTTAAAAATAACTTCCAAGTTGTTTTCCACTGTGGTGATACAATTTTTCACTCCTGCCAGCAGTGTGTGTGTTCCAGTTGCTCTGAGTCTTCAGCAGCACTTGGTGTGACCTGTTTCTGTCACTCAGCCCTCTAATAGGTGTGCAGTGGCATCTCATTGTGGTTTTAATGTACACTTCCCTAAAGCCCAATGATGTCTAGTGTCTTTTTCTACACATATTTGCCACCTACATGTCTTCTTTGGTGAAATGACTGACTAAATCTTGTACCCATTTTTGTTGTTGTTTGAGACAGAGTCTCACTGTCTAGCCCAGGCTGGCCTCAAACTTGCAGCAATCCTTCAGCCTCTGCTCACGAATGGGGGCTCATAGGTATATGCCACTACATCTGGCAGAAGGTCCTAGTTTTGATGAAGCCCAATTTATGTATTTTCCTTTTGTGCATTGTTCTTTTGATATTATATCTAAGACATCAATTCCTAACCAAAGGTCACAATTTTTTTTGAGTTTTCTGCAGAAAGTGTTATAATTAGATTTTGCATGTAGGGCTATGCTCTGTTTTGAGCTAACTTGCATCTATGGTATGGGGTAAAGATTCGGGTAATCATTTGCACATGGACCTGAGCTTCTGTTGAAAAGAATTGTCTATGCACCTTTATCAAAAATCAATTGGCCAAATACTTATGTGTGGGTCATTTTGGAGTTCTAGGTTAATTGTTTTGGGGGTTTTGTTTTGTTTTGCTTGTTTTGTTCTGAGACAAGGTTCATTATGTAGCTCAGGCTGTCCTTGAACTCACCTGGCCTCAAACAAGATCCTCCTACCCCTGCCTATGCCTTCCAAGTGCTAGGATTGCAGGCCTGTGCCATGACAGCTAGCACTTAATTGTTTGTACTTCTAGTACTTTAAATATGCTAGTCCACTGTCTTTTCTCTTGCAATCTCTTAACAAGAAATTTTCTGTCATTTCTTCTTTTTCCCTTGGTTATAAGATGTCCTTTTTTCTCTAGCTGCTCTTAAATTTTTTATTTTTTAGGGAGGGAATTAATAGCTTTATTGATACATTATACAAGTCATCATTTGAATTCTATAGTTTCTAGTGTGGCCACAGAGTATGCAATTATGGTTATAATTAGTTTGTAGGACATTATCACATCCCATAAAAACTCCATACCTATGAGCAGTCCTAAGCCATAACCCATCTCCCAGCCCCACTCTGGCCAATCACCAATCTACTTTCTGTTGATTGGCATACTCTGGATTTTTTAGGTAATGGAGTCATAATGGTGTTTTTTGGAACTGTCTTCTTACACTTAGTATTTTCAAGGTCCATCCATGTTGTAGTGTGTATCATTACTTCCTTTTTACTGTCTGGGACAAGCCATGGTCAGTTCATGAACTGAGTGGGGCAAGGATGAGGGAAGGCAGTGGTGGTACCTCCCCGTGCCCAGGGCTACATAGCCCTCAATCTCAGCATGCTAGATAGAGCACTGGGTAGGGGGGAGCCCTGAGTAAGGGACAGATGGAATTGGAAAAGCTTTCCTCCCTACCAGTCTTAGGCTGAGAGACTAGCTGCAAGAACACCCCTTAGATTGCCCTGAGCTATGGACAAGGGAATGGGAGGCTTCCTGCTGGCTTGGATGTTTTCCTTCATCCTGTGAGTGCTTGGCTAGGCATTGATGAGAGCCAAATATAGGGCTCTGAGCATCCAATTCTGGCCTTCTTACCTCCCTTCCAGTCATCAGGCCCTCTGTTCACAGTAGGGTCCAGCAGGTCAGCCTGAAGCTCCCATCACTGTGGCCCTCACACCCCACTTAAGCAGGAGAGTGTGGCCCAAATGTGGTACATGTGGGCACAGTGGGTGTCAAATGATGAGTTAATAGGGCTCACTCTGATCTGGGAGCCTGAGTCCCAACCTTATGTTTGGAGCCCCTTCGGTTACAGCAGATGTGAGCCCCAATCCTGCTGCTGTGGCTGGTCAGCACCAGCATGGGGTGGAATTTGGCAGGGTGCTGGGTCAACAGGACCTCAGGCCAGTGCAGGTCCATAGAGAAACCGTTCCAGGTAGAAGTGAGTAAAAGTCTGCTCATTATCAGGACTGCAGGAGCTATTTCTACTGACAGCTTCCTACTGACCTCCTACTCACTCCCATGAACTGTGTGTGACCTCGGGCATTATTTAACCTTTGGAGACTGTACTGGTTGTTTACTGCTATTGTTATTTATATTTACTTAGCAAACTACATAGAACTTACTATTATTTATTGTTTACATAACAAAAAATTAGCAGCTCAAAGTAGCAAACATTGACAATCTGAGTTTCTAAGACTAAGGGTCCAGGAGCAGCTCAGCTGGCAGTTCTGGCTCAGGGTCTCTTAAAAAGTAGAGACCTGGCAGCGTTGCAGTATCATGTGAAGGCCTAACAGGGCTGAAGGACCCACTTCTACACTCACTCTTGCTGTTAGAAGGAAGCCTTAGAGCATCTCTCCTGCTGACTCTGTAGGAAAGAAGCTGGTTTCCCAGAGCAAATAATATGAGAGGCAGAGACCACAGAGAGACCGAGCAGGAGGGACCTTGCACCTGGATGATATCCCATCACCTCTGTAGGACCTTTACTGGTCACACAGGCCAACCGTGGGGCACTGAACCATTGGAGGCTGTTCGAGAGGCTGCAAAGCCTGGGCTTGTTTCTATAACTGAGGAACAGAGGGAGAGCACCCAGGCAAAGGTGTGGAACCCTAGGCAGCCCTGGAACTGGGCAGCCCTGGAACTGGGATGCTAGGTGAGGAGAGGAGGCTGGGGCTCTGTGAGGGGAGTTACCAACTCACCTCTCATAAGCCAGAGCCCAATCCCCATTTCAATCTCCCAGTGAACAGAGTTTAATGGTCCTGGCCAGCAAATTCTGTCACCATGGGGACCTATTCTCCAGATTTCATATACCTATGATCTCTATTATTGTTCAGTCCCCAAGCCCTTGTCTCACTGAAGACAGAAGACCCAACATACAGGTTAGATACCACAGAGGCATGCAGATCAACAGTGCACAGAAGTTCAGCAAACATTCATTGAGGCTTGGTCTGCTCCAGTCACTGGGCTTGAAGGAGGCACTGGGCTGCTGGAGGGGACTGGGGAGCCATGACCACCAGCTCCTCTAGCCAGAAGAGAGGGTTCACCTGTTACTCAGCAGGAAGCCTCTGCAAGACAAGAGCCAAGATACAAACAGCTTGAGGAGGGGTAAACAGAGAATGACCCCAAACTCATCCCTCAATGCTTCCTCTGAGGCAGAGGAAGGGGTGGAACATGTGTGGAAGGATGGGGAAGATAGAAAAGACCTACCCATGTCAGGGAGCACCCCACATTTGGGGAAACAGCACCCACCTTGAGGACAGCCCTGCAGAAAAGCATTAGAGGGTCCACCTTGCCTAATCCAAGCACGAGGAGACAATATGTAATAGACTTTCCCAAACTGCCTCTCTGGTACTTGTCCCTGCAATCCCCTGAGACCTGACCCCTCACCATGGAAGTCTGGCCTCAGCTAAGCTATGCTTCCTAAAATCTCTCTGCTAACCCAAAGCAATCCCCCAACCTCCCTGTTCTTCTGCCTTCACCCACACTAGTTGATCAGGTCACTATGAATTGAGCTTCCTTATTCCAGGTAGGTGCCAAGGACAGATGAAGGACACAGCCTGGCTTCCTGGAGCCCAGTCCTGCTGGTCCCAGATAATATCGAAGGAGCCTGCTGCAGATAAGGTGGTTTGTGAGGCTGTGAAAAGAGGAGTGAGAATTTGGGGAGGTTGGCTGAGTTCAAAGGGACAGGGCTCAGAAGGGGCCTTCCTGTGTAAGGCATGTATATACCCCAGAGCCAGAGAGGTCCCTGGAAGGCTAAAGCAGAGTCCTCACTGCAGATCCTTTTGGCAATAGTGCCCAGAGGAGACTATAGGGGACAGAAAGTAAGGCAGGGAGAGGGGAGGCCAGGAGTCTGATCAGAAGAATTGTTGCTGCCCTCTTCTGAGAGGAGGACAAGTATGATGACCCATTTGCCAGTGCCCTCCCAGGAGGCCCTGATCCTACTGGTCACATAAGTGGGAATACCTCCTTTCCCTGAGGTGTGGGGCCCAGCTTTGAGCAGGCCCTGGCCTCCCCTACCCATACACCCAGCCTCACTTCCCTGTGTTCCCTTATGCACCGTCCAGCCAAGGAGGGTCTGATTCTGCTCTAAGCACCAACACCACCCTGATCTCCCAGCTGCGAAGGGTATAGGGCTGGTTTGGGAACCCCCAGGAGCCAGGACTCCTGAGTGAATGTCTATCCAAGGGTGCAGCACTTGACTCACATGGCTCACCATTCAGGATCACTGCCCCAGCTATGAAAGCTCAGCGAGATGGGGAGGTAGTCATAGAACAAGGATGACTGGCTTAGTGGGAACTTGGAGATTCCTACCAGGAGGGTCCTGGTGAGGTGAACTCTGTATCAGGAGGAAGTGTACCAGCCTGTGGCAAAGTGACTCACCCTCCTTCTTGATGGCCCCAGCAGGGCAGGTGCCAGGCAAGTGTCTGATGAACTCAGTCACCCCTGGGAGTAGATCTTTGTGCAGGCTTGGGTGGGGCTCAAAAGGAGACAGTAGTCTGAGCTTGCACCTGGGATCACTCCCTCATGCACCTGGAGCATAGCCCCCAGTCCCAGCTCTCAGGAACCACAGGCAGTGAGACAGTGACTTCGGGGATGTGAGGTGTGGCGGTCCTGATATCGCTGTGTGGTATCTTCAATGGTTCCCAACTGCAGTGCTCAGGACCTAGGCAGGGTGAAACCCCCAGTCTCCTACTACTGGGTATGTATTAGGACCCCGACTTCCCTAGAGTAGTACCTCCTGATTCCAGGCACTAGGCACCATTGCCAGCCTCTACTGCTGGGAGAGGCTTAGCCTTGAGTGGGTGCAGACAGCTTTGCATTGAACCATGGGAATAAAGCAGCAAGTGGACCCAGCCTGCCAGTACTGAGGCTCCAGGGTAGAAAGCGGTCACCCCTTAGCCCCATAGCAGCACAACTTGGCAGAGGACAACAGTGTGAAAACGCAGATCGCTCCCTTTCAGGGTCCGGAGGACTTAGAAAAGGTGCCTTTTAAAAACCCAGCCCAGTGATGCTACGCCACAGCCTTCCAAAACTGAGGTACATTCTGGAGGTCTGATGACTATCGCCTTCCTGTCTGAACCTCCTGGGCTGTCTCATCCCAAGGAGAGTAGCGGGCTCCATCGCAGACCAAAGCAAAGCTAAGCCTGGGGGGCCAAGCGGCACTCACAAAATCAGGGCTGGGGATCGCGCGGAGTCTGAGGAACAGAGCCATTTGGTGGGCGGGGTTTGGTGGGTGGGCGTGGCCTGTCGGAGGGGCGGGGCCTGGGAGGGCCCTGAGCCACCTGGGCGCTCGGTGGAAAGAGTCGCGCAGCCTGTGCTGCTGGCGCTGCCGAACCAGACTGTTCACAAAGATAACAAAACAAAACGAAATACTCGACGCGAGTCTCGGGAAATAAATATTCCCTGGTACAGTCTCCGCCAAGGCTCCAGGACCCACCGCACCTCACCACAGCCACGGCCTCCAGGGCCCGCTCGAGTCTTGAGGCCTCGCAGTGAGGACAGCAGGAGGTGCCTGAGTCAGTCCCGGCAGGAGCGGCGGCACAAAGGCGGCCCTGGGACACAAGGGGAAGGGACCGTCGAGGGACGGCAGCAGCGGGCGGCCCATGTAGACTTCGGCTGCTGGGGCTTCTGCGGAGGGGGTCAGAGAGGTCATGCGGCGCGAGGGCCCCAGCTGGCACAGGCAGGCCGCCAGGTGGCCAAGCAACCGGGAGCTCACGTCGGCTGGGACGCCCTCACAGCCGGCCAGGAAACGGTTCACCTCGGCTAGGCATTCGTTGAAACCTGCGCGGTACTTGCCCAGGACGGCGGGGTCGGCACTGAGAACCGCTGCGGGAACGGCAGGGACGAGTGGTCGGTGCCCATGGCTGCGGCTCTGCGAGCCTTCCGCCCCCCAAATCATGCCACCCGTGTCTCACCTGTCACCTGCACGCGACGCAGGTTCTGTAAGTGTCTCACAGTCATCTCCAGGATGTCTGCCTTCTCCAATTTCGAGTGGCGAGAGCTCTGGGGGCAGAGATAGGGAGATGGGCTGCAGCCCTGCTGCGCCCCATCCTCCGCGACTCAAGCTTTCGATTCCCCCCTGCCCCGTCCCCGCTTACATCCTTCCTGAGCGCATCCAGGATGAGGGTCTTGAGCTGAGCGAGGCTTTCGTTGATGCGCGCTCGGCGCCGCTTCTCCATGACCGGCTTGGAGGACTACAGGTTGAGCAGCGTATGAGTTCCGCGTTTCGCGGTCCTCCCAATAACAGACCTCCCCCCTACCCCGCCCCGGGCCGGGACCCACTTTGCGGTGTTCGGCTGCGCTGCGGGGCTTATCTGGGGTCCGGCTGGCGCTGGCCGGTGCTCCAGCGAGCGGCGAGACTCTCGGCTTTCCCGGAGTGTCTGCGGGCATGGTGCGCCCTGCGCCCCCAGGCCCGGCGGAGCGTTCGCGACCTCCGGTGGGTATCGGCCCCAAGCCCGCGCGCGGAACCTACCGCCAGCTATTTAAGGCCGCGCCGCGGCGGGGTGTGTGAACCCCGCTAGGCGTCCGTTCCCACACTTGCCCAGCCAATGGGCGGCTGGACTTCACGCTCCGCCCGTCCCAGCCCGCGCCCCGCCCCCGCCTACTGTCAGTCACGCGCCGCCTCCGTCCGAAGTATAGCGGGTTACAAAGGAGAGCCGGGCGCCCTTCCTTAGCCACCAAGACCGGTGCCCCGACTGGCCGCGTGTAGAGAGGCTCCCGGCTCACCTCTCCGCCGAGAGGAAGCCCCGGGGTGAGGGAGGGTCGTAGGACTCTGTTCGCTGCGGCCGTGCAGGGAATCAGAAATGGAATTTCGCTAGGGACTCAGGGCCAGGAGTCCCGAAGTGGGGAGCGCCGGCCCACACACCTTCTCCCCTGTCGCTGTCCGCGCCCCAGCCCCGCCTACTGCTCTAGTCTGAGTTTGCCCCAGTGTTGCTCATGTGCAGCGCAGCATCTGGGTAAGGAGAGGGCTGTCATACAGAGAACATGGACCAAACTTTGCTAGGACCAGCCAACACCAGCCACTGGGCTGAAGAGAGCTTGGCTGGGTGGGGGCAGCAGGTGGACAGATGGCATCAGAGGACACCCCGAGGCCTCACCACCAGTCAGGAGGGACAACTTCATGAAATAGAATGTAGGGATGTCACTGTGCAGGCCTGTGAAGTCTTTGGGGATGAAGCAAGCCAGATGGGATGATGTTATGGGGTTGGTGCTATCACATTCTTCTAGATTACCTCATAACCAGCTAAACCCAGCAAAGCAGAGCTCACAAAAAATGAGGATCAATTTAAATTTGTTCCATTTGTTATTTCAAAGAAGAGTGAGAAAAAAAAAAAAGCTGATGCTTTCATTTTGAGTTATCCTGAAGTAATTTTAGTACTCAGAATACTCAGCATACCATAGCCTGGCAGGCGCCCTGCATGCTCCATCTAATGGAGGTTTCCAGAAGCCGCAGTGAGCTCCGAGGGCTGGAGACTCTCCTGGTGCTCAAGTCTGCTGTGGGAGACCCACAGCAAATACACAAGGTAATCACTCCTTTGTAAACCACAGAAATTAAGGGACTAGGTTGCTAGGGCAGAGAAGACCCTTTCCACAAGAGATCCCAAAACTTTCTGGGGTGGGTTTTCAGGGGAAGGCAGCTTTTAAGGCCCAGACAGAGGGAGGGCATTCCCAGAGTTAGAAAGGGGCTACAGGGACCAAGGGAAGAGGGGAAGGGGCAGGCAGGGCCATCAGGAGCAAAGGCTTCCGGCCCGTGAGGGTTTCGGAGGGCCTTGAGGGGCTTTTTTGATGCTGGTTGGGCCTCCTCACTTACCAGGATGTGAGACTGCTGGCTGGCAAGTGGTCTCTGCCCAACACTTGTTCCAGGGTCCCTATCTACAGCTATCTCTCTCTGAGGCCAATCCCAGTCTGGCCCTAGTCTAGACCTAAAGAAAGTCCTCACCTCAGCTCCGGGAAGCCCTCTCTGATCATTGAGCAATCCCCCTACAGTCCCTCTGGGTATGGACATGAGGTGAAGTGTCTTCCCCACCAATGCATGCGTGGGGTGAGGCAGCCCAGTCAAACACACACACACACACAGAATGTCTAACAGGGGTGTGCACCTTAGGATTGGCAGTGAGTCCAGGCTGTCACTCTTCCAAGTGGGGCTGCCTGCTCCTCTTTCTGTCTTCAGATGAATGTGAGGAGGAGAGAGACTGGGAAGTATACAGTGCTGAGCAATAGTCCAGGGAGGTGACTGCCAGCTCAGAAAGCCCTGGAATTTCTGGCTAGGATCCCACTTATCTGACATACCCTCAGCTTGGGCCTCCGTTCTGGAACAGCTAGGATTAGTCCTGCTGTGGAGGGGATGGTCTGGACCTAGTCAACCTCCACCTCCCCACCCTGTTGCTGAGTTATAGGGAAAGACCTGCAAAAACCCTGAGTGCCCCACAGTCATCTCCCCCTCCTGCTGGGGATCTTCCAGGGAGCAACCACCTGAGACTTCCTCAGCTCCCTGGGCCCTTCCATGGGAAGGGGTCTAGGTGGACTCAGCCTCACCCCTAGCTTTCTGCAGGGACCAGTCACGGATAAGAGATAAAGAGAGGCCTGAGGAATGACACTGTGCCTCACTGGTTGCTAGTGGGTTTCCTTACCCTGCTGTGCTGTTTCCTGACCTGTGAAGTGGGTTGCCTGGGAAGATAAATTTACCCAGGTTGCTGGGAAAATAAATGAGATACTACCTTAATGCATGGTAATGGTACCCAAGCCCAGCGAGTCCTGGCTTCACATTAGCAGTGCCTAGGGTGCCTGCACTTCTCTTCACTGCCCCACAGTACCCTCTCCCCTGCCCAAGGACCCCTCCTGACAGATCAGGAGGGGTGCCACCACCCCAGAGTCTCAGGTGCCTGTGCCTTGCCCCCCATCCCCAACCCCAGCAGGAAAGGGTGAGCCTCCCCTGTCTTTGTCGTGGGCAATGCTCTACTATTTGTCTCTCTGGGACCCTGCCCTTATTCCTCTGGCTATCCCTTCCCTGCCTTTCCAATCTGGACTAGATTCTAATAGGATCCTGGACTCCTGGGATCCCTGGGATTCCTTTGCTCCAAGTAAAGAGGGAGGGTCCTGGGCTACATCAGAGCAAGTATGTTGACTTTCTGTGTTGGCAGATGGCATTTTCCAAATGTGTCACAGAACCTCCCCCCCACAAGCTTGATGACGTCTCTGATGGTCTCCACCAGTAAGGTTGGGCAGTGGCAAGATGTGGCTTCTAAGGCTGAATTTTGAAGATATTGCACATGTCTAAGGTGCTGAGAACACCCTACTCTTGAAACCTATACACCATGCTCTGAGGAAGCCTATATTATTGGCCCCATGAAGAGGCCACAGGGAGAGGACTGTGTACTGTTGATGCCAAGTCTGAGGATACAGAAAAACTCAAACTCAGTGTCTCCTGTGCTGTCATGGCCAGTGACTGTCCTCTAACTCAATTCAGTTCTGACACTGTCTGCACCTGGATGTCATGTCAGGTCCCATAGGCTGCCCCCACTTTTGAATGTACTCACAAGCTCCAAAATGTGACCTGTGTTTCTGACAGACCAGCTCTAAACCATAACCCTCTCCTTGGGTTCAATTAACCTGTTTGAGCAGCTCACAGAACTAAGGAAAACGTGGATAGTGGAGGAAGCCAAAGGACATTGAAAAGGATGCAGTGGAAGAGATGCCTAGGGAGAAGTGTAGGGAAGGGGCACCGAGCTTCCCTGCCCTCCCTGTGCACAGCCCCCCAGGAATTTCTATGTGTTCCACTATCCTGAAGCTCTCTGAATCCTGTCTTTCGGGGTTTTTTATGGAGACTTCTTATTTATGCATGGTTTACTAATCATTGCCCAAGGTGATCAACTCAACCTTCAACCCCTTCCCACTGCCTAGAGGCTGGAAGTAGGGCTGAAATCCCAATTATCCAATCCTACCTTGGTCTTCCTGCTGTCCAGCCCCATCCTGAAGCTACTTAGGGCTGTGAGCCAGCAGTTGACTTAGCATACAAAGACACTTACGACTTTGAAGATTATAAGCATTTTAGAACTTGTATGCCAAGAAACAGAGGCAAGAATCAAATACATATTTCATAATAACACAAGGTCCTAGCTGACAGCCCAGATTAGCCCAGACAGGAGTGAGACATCTCCATATGATCCCAGCCGAGGCTGCCAAAATGGCCATGCTGTGACTCCCAAGCCAAGGCCGCAGATGTGGCTGAGAAGAACTCTGCATACCCTATACCAATACGACCCACAGAGTACAATAATTGTCAACTGCAGTGTTTAGGGGTCATTGGTTACACAGAATTAATAGCTAGAACAGTACTGAACCCAGAACCCGGGGACAGTGACCCTTCCCTCCCCATTCTGCTCCTCCCTTTGGTGACTCCCTCCTTTCTCCAGCTATTCCAGAGGCTCTGAGCCTTCACAGCCTTCCTTTCTATACGATGAACTGCTTCTTGGGGGTCATCAAAGGTCACTGTCCCACTGGACCTAAGTGGACCAAGCCCCAAATTGTTGGTGATGTCAGGGGCCTCTCCAGGGCCCATTGATGGCTATGGGTGGAGGTAGTGTAAAACATCCATATAGTGGGGGAGCCTATGGGAGAAAGAGGGTGTATTTCAAGCCAGACACAAGGCTCTAGCTGTGTGGGGATCTCTTCACACCTGACAGCACTCCATGCCCTCTCATCCTGAAGTGTCCCTGGAGGGTCTGCCAAGTTTGGCTGTGCCCTACCCTGCTCCCGCCACACACCTCTAACCTGGAGTGGAGCTGGTGTTCATGTCCTGCTCCTCACATACCCTGGCACAGAGGCTCCAGAACATCAGAGACCAGAAGACCCCTCATGTACACCTTTGTCAGGGTCTGTCCCCTCTAATCCTGCCATGGATGAGGGCAGCTGAGATCAAAGCTGTTAAGGGACTAGCTAGACCCATCATGGGCTCTCTCCTAAAGAGTGGAGCTGGGCACTGAGCTATCAATGGTATTTGCTGGAGTGGTGACAGAGGCTAGGGCAGGAGGGATCTAGGATGCAGGAGGCAAACCCAGGACCTGAAGAGGCAGAGGCCACCTAGCTGTGAACCCTGAGGCTCCAGTGCAGCTCTTACACCTGAGGCAAAGGCAGTATCTCTCACCCAGCCTGCTCTGTGGGTGAAGCTTTCCTCTACCTTTCCTGGACCATTGCCTGGGCAGGGGGAGCTGTCCTTTTCCCTCCTTGTTGGCACTTCCAGAGAGGGTCCTTCTCCTGAATACCCCAGCTTTGAACTTCATGCCCTCATTCCCACCTCCTACCAGAGGTTCCACTCCTGGCTCCTGTCATTCCCCAGACATACCTGCCATAGTTCTTGGGACCTTCAAAATCCATGTGGATGATTCTCCAACCTTTTGGACTTCAGGACCTGGCCCCTCCCTGTTCAGTCATTCGCTCTGCTGATCTTCGTGTTTTCTGGCAACTGCAATCCTCCAAGCTCACCTCAGGCTCCCGAGATTTCTGACCACCTCCCTGTCTCATGCATACCTTTCACTCTCCACATTCCACCC